GTCTGATCTGATCTGGGATTGAAAACAGTTCAGAAGAAAAACATCCTAAAACCACAAAAGAAGCACGGGTACAATATGCTCATATATATATATATATATATATATATATATATGGAAAATTTTACGGTACATATCTTTTGAGGGATGTTTTGGTGCATTCCTGATTTGGCAGCATGTGATTGGTAGTTTAATCCATGTCATCTGTTTTAATTAAAAATAAGTTAATTGCATAGAAGTCCTTCCCCAATCTTCAACCTTATCGTTTTAGGTTGAGAGAATAATCCCTTATGACTTATCGCTGAAAGAAGGCCGCAGAGAGACGCTCTAGAGGCGAAGAAACCATAGAAAGCGCCGGAGGGGCGAAAATCCGGCATCTCAATCCAAGGTAGGTGTCACCATCTCCAATTTTTTGTTGTGCCTATTCAATTTCTTTGTCTGGAAGGTTAAAATTATTTCCTTCATTATCATCCATCTCCTCTTCCATTAAGTTTTCCAATTTGTCTTTGAAAAGTACCATCGAATCAGGATTTTGCTTTTGATTTCAGCTGCCTGATCTGTCGACGGAAGCAAAATTTTCATCTGCTTTAAATTTTATACAAAATTTTTGTATGTAGTTTGTGTGTACTTGTGTTTAGAAATACATTTAGGATTTGGCATTGATGCGTGCCGCACCTATCGTGCATGAATGTGTGGATCTGATATCAACTATCACCTATTTTGTACGTTGTTTTTCTTTACAGTTCAGGTTATGAAAAATGATTTAGATGTATAAACATGGAAATGTGATTCGTTTTGCTAGTTTGGGTAAATATTATTTTTTGGGTAAATCGTGGTTTATATATGTACACCCTATCATGATCTTCTTCATTCTTCAAAAGAAAGAGGTGAATTGTGTTTAGCTTATATGTTGTATATTTCTATGGAATTTATAAAATTTAGAAATAGCTTGGAGTTAGAATAGCTGAACTTGATACAATAGGGTTGGGTGACTTGGAAATGTTAAGCCAGAGCTTCTATAATTCTTTGGAAGGGGGCATTGTTAGAAAGATAGAATCAGGGTCTCCTGCTTCTCATGTTAGACTTCACACAATCACACTGAGGATGTCATATTTCAATTTGATGGGAAGCCTCTTAGGAGTTCTGTGGAGTTTACGTGTATGCTATTAGATAAGAAGGCCAAGGATCCTGTAGAATTGATTGTGAGTAGAGCAATGGACCTCACAGTCTCACACGCACACATTCCCTACTTAAAGCACAAAAAAGTTGAACCGATGGCCAGTACCTAAGGAATGGTCCTTTTGCGTACCTGATGATACATCACACTTGTGCTTTGGATGAGCTTAGCTCCGCAACATCTCTTATTGGCCATTATTTAGTAATTTATCTATCTTTAGTTACTATAATTGCCACTTTTATGGGCCACTTTTTAATTATTATTTTATCAAATTACTACTATTGCTTTTGTCAACCCCTACTAATACTTGCTGATGAGCCCGAGGCATCTAAGTGACAAGCTTATAACATGTCATAGTTTTATATCAATATGCTCCAGGTAGAAAGCGTTGAAATCAATATCATATCTTCCCCTGCAACAGACCTATATTTCTACCGTAGACTTAGCCTACCCTTTTGCACACTCATATTTGACTTTTTATACAGTTACCTCCACAATTCATATATATATATATACTATGTTGCACGGAAACGCTAAAATTATGAGGAAACGGGAAACGGGAAACATCAATTTTTGCTCAAAAAGACTTATTTGGAGAGTTTCCAAAGAGTTTCCGAGAGTTTCCGAAACGGGAAACGTACTCTTTCCCGAGAGTTTCCGTGCTACATAGTATATATATATATATATATATATATATATATATATATATATATATATATATATATCTTGTATTCATATGCATATCTTCCCTGTCATAGATGGACATAATGTATCATGTATGATATTTCCTACTGTTTATATGCTATAAGAGAACATTATAGTCACTGTGTGTTCTAATAAGTAAAATGAGGGGATGTTTTTTTTCCAAAAAGGGACTAAATCAACTGATTGTGCATCCATTAAACAGTAAACTTAAATGGCTCATTATTCTATGCTATTATGCCTCCTCCCCAACAACCAAATAAGTACTTATAAAATCATTTGTTTATGGGAAAGTTTATAAATATGATGAAATGCGCATATTCTTAAATGTGATTTATTCATTCATTAATTCATAAAACTACAAATACCTAGTGTTATTCCTTTTTTGAGGGCTGAATGATTTGCTTAAAATAATTTTTAACACAAGACGATACTCCTATATGTGCACATGACTCATGTTTTACTCATATTTAAGTCAATTTTATTTATCAATTACAGGATATCCGCAAAGGTGTGTCAAAGCTGCAACCTAAGGTGACTGCTAAAGTAGTTACTCTAACAGAAAGCTTCAAATCAATGCACACATAGAACTTTGGGACCAACTAGGTGGAGCATACCGTTGTCATGCTTAGCCAAGGCTTACACATACACTCGTGTATTTGAAGGGAAATGTCAACCTCACTTGAACCAGTACTACACAACGAAGTGATATGGACTTATGGAGTATCTTTTAAGTTGGAGAAGTGTAGTTGGAAAAATAGAACTGGTGATGGCATGTTGTGCCGTGAGTTTGCTACTGAGCTGTAGAAAGCATTGAGCTTTTCTAATAGCATGTCTCCGCTACAGGGAAAAGTCTCATATGTTGAGTCGGACAATCGACACTTGTAACTTGCTCTAATAATGTGACAACTGTAAGAGCATACAACTTTACAAAACATGTAGCGTTGTGCTGGATCGGCTTTGTGTAGCTATAATATATCATTTCCCATGACACATGATGAAGCTATTTTCAGGCAGACACACAACTCATTTCGCAGCAAACTTGCCAGTGTTGATGATGATTAGACTTTCCTCAGAAATGTTGTTCAATCTGAGACTTGATAAATCAGTTATCCAGTTGTATAATTATATCATTCAAGATTTGAAGTGCCTTTCACATTAATGGTAGAGCATAGAGAGGTTCAACCTTACCAGAATGGAGGTTTAAAGTTATTGCTGATAAAACAAGATGGTGGTGATAGTGAAATCAGGAGAAAAAAAGTTGTTTGTCAAGGAATCTTATTATGTTATTATCGGGATAAAATAAATGAGGTCATATTTCATTATTCGATATTCTTTTCCATCGTTATGTTATTTGTATGGTTGTATACTTGTATGCTTCACATTTACCATCCAATGTGTCCAAGTAAAATATTTGATGCTTTATTCCTTTGCACAGCTCATATAGGTTATTTTAGAATCTTGACATTATAGACTTGTAGTTGGTTGGTTTCAAATTCAGTTATCATTGCACAGGGGCTAGGGCGGTTGTAATTACAAACGGGGTTTGTCCTGAAATAATACTAAACTAAATGGTATGGACAAAAATGAGACTACTTTAAAAAAGTTCCAAAAATAAGACTAAGATGACTTTTATCCCTGAACCAGCGACCATGACCAAAACGTCCCAGTGACCAACCAGGACCAAAACGTCTCGATGAGCGGTGACCAACCATGACCAAAACGTCCCAGTGACCAACTAGGACCAAAACGTCCCAGTGACCAAACACTCCAGTGACCGTTGCTCCACCGTTGTCGGGGACAATTACTCTACCTCCGCTTCCGGTGAACCCCACCAGTGACATTCGTCAGCCGGTCAGTACCCTAGCTATCGCCGCTTCCCCAGCCCCACCCTAGTTGACGCCATTCTAAATCTAGATTTGATTCATTGCTTGACACCAGTCACTATTCGTTAATGTAGTCTATAAGCGTCTGCCGCCTCCCTCTGATGGAGATTACACCATCAGCGATGGAGATTACAACATCAGCGATGGAGAAAATCGAGGAGCAGAAAAGAAGATCGAGGACGAAGAAGAGCCGATTGGTTGTTGCCTCTGTTGCCGGTCACCTTCGCCAATATGGAGTCGTCTCCTCCGGTGTGAATCACTGGTAGGGCTGGACTCGGGCCGGTTCGGGCCCGGTTCGGGCCCGGTTCGGGTCTGGGCCCGGCCGGGCCTCGGGCCAGGAAAGGGGAGGCCCGAGCCCGAACCGCCGGTGGCCGGTTCCGATTCCGGTTCCGGGCCAAACCGGGCCGGGCCGGGCCGAACCGGCCCAATTAATTTTTTTTTTGTTCTCCTATTTAATCCCCTACCCCTCCCCCTCAACCCCAAACCATCCCAAACCACCTCAAATGGCCCAAAATACCTAATCCAACCTAAAACTTAAAAAAATTTCAAAAAAAAATAAATAAATAAAATCCGGCCCGGACCGGGCCCGAACCGGCCGGGCCGGTTCACCAAAACCTGAGCCCGAGCCCGGACCGCCCAGCACCCAGGCCGGGCCAAACCGAACCGGTGGACCCACCGGGCCACGGGCCGGGCCGGGCCAAACAGTGACCGGGCCGGTTCGGTCCCGGGTCGGGCCGCCGGCCCGAGTCCAGCCCTAATCACTGGCGTCTGTTGTCACATGGTCGCACCAGTGGAGTTAGGTGCTCCTCACCTGACGCGAAGAAGCCCTCTCCTGAACGAAGAATAAAGCTCACGCAGGAAAGAATGTCAATGGGGGCAGAATACTGTAATGATATGGGCATTTTGGTCTTTTCATTTAAATTTAGTCATATATCCGTAATCCGTCCAAATGAAAACTGCTCCTGTTTTTGTCCCCCGAGAAGCTAGGAGTTCTACTTCCGTCATTATTTCATTACAAATTATCATCCATTTCCTAATCCGAAAACTCATCTTCATGACTCATCTTCATGATTGACAGTCTTTGTAACTCTTGGCAAACTTCGAAGTCTGATTGCATTTGTCTTGTTTCAATTTCGTGTTTCAGCAAGTTCATCCATGTATATCTAGTATCCAAAGTGCATTTCTTGAATCGGATCATTTTTAGATTGTCAAGTGAAATATATACTTTTTCTTATTATCAACCAAGGGTGAGTGCGTGAAACTAATTAAAAATCTCCCAGAGGTAATTAACTTACATGCAACGTATCCACTTGTAAAATACCAAAATGAACTCGAATAAATCGCAAGGAGTGATCCATTTAAAAAAAAAAACTCAAAACTGAGAAAACAAGTTTAGTAAACCAAATCAAATAAAAAACACAAACTCAAACACTAAAAATCCACAATTTACTTGGAAGCTTACAGTGCAAGAGGACAAAATCAACAACAATTTCAAAAAGTAGAATTGGACCATCTTGAGATCAGTGGTGATACGCACTCTTGATGAACCAGACCAAAATTCCCGCATGATGATGTCCCTAGTATTTTGGTCCATGTCTACATGAGTTGCAGAAATTGTATGGTGACGGCCACGCATTTTGTCAGTGTTAACAAACAAGGATGACACTCTCGGTGATGGCCAATGTCTCATACAGATCGCAAAGTGTTTCAAGCTTCCAGTCCTCTTTGTCAGCATTGACATAGAACTGTTTGATACCTTCTAGTGTGAGCTCATACCCTTTCACAATAATCATGAGAGGCTTGTTCATGAACTTTCCGGTGATTTCAAGGGCATCTGGGGGCATAGTAGCAGAGAAAACACCAACCTGTATCTTTGGTGGTAACAGCTGGAAAATATCATAGATCTAAAAACAAAAACAAGCAACACAAACATTAGTTTCTATTGCCAATAGGACAAATGTTTTAATCAACAGTGTCAGCACACTTAAAGTATGCATTTTGAATAATAATCACTATACATATTGGCATATTGCCAATACAATAATACTATGAACACAAAAACATGAAATAAAAATATATAATAATATAAATAAAAGCGATGAATGAAAGAAATTAATTTTTCGTATTGTGAATTTGTGATTAAATCAAGTACGGGTCAAATCACATCCGCCAAAAAAGGAAAAATGATCAAATAAGCCCTTCAACTATCATGAATCCATCACATAAGTCCATCTACTAATAAAAGCACCATTTATAACATTTACTTCATAAAAACAATCATTATGGTCACAGTTACCAGAATGCAACCTTTTTAGCTGGTTAACGCTCAGACAACACATTTACTTTTTTTTTGCATTCTTTTTCTTTTCTCGTTTCTTTTGTTCTTTGTTTGTACTCGTTGACTCATTGTCATTTCGTCCCAACAAATTTTTCCTTTCATCTTGTAACTCAATCTCTCCCTCAATATGCATATAAACTTTTCTTGTCCTGCTGTCCGGAGTCCGTCCAGAAGAAATAAGAATTGATTGTCCAATAGAATGAGCGGTTATGATAAAACAAGCTAGAGTGGGTCTTAGATACTCTATGTCTTCTCTATTCTCGTTCATAATACTCCATAATATGCAAGAGCAAGTCTAAACCGACACCTTAACCCAATACCATAGCAGCATTTAGCTAATCACACACATACAACTTTAAGGCAAGTAGTGATAGCATTAAAACATAATATAATCTAATAACTGTAATAGCAAAAACCACTAATAACTATAAAAGTAAAAACCTCTAAAGCAATAAACAGCAAATTGTCTTCATCCCAATAAACATGTGGGATGAAGACTACAATATGAACACTATATTGTCTTTTAATGGTCAATCTTTGTATTAGTTAAGCTTTTGACAAACTGTTCAAGCACAGCAAATTAAAAATTAACTATTTTTAAATCGATCTATTCCCTGCTATTTTAGCTTAACTGAGGATGTTCGCAATCAGATAACTAAATTGTTTCGGGAAGCTCTTCCACAACTCTATAAGAAGTCAATGTTATATCCTTTCATTAAGAAAATAGTATGATGCATCAAACCAGCAACTGATCCTATTGTTTAACTTGAGGCCGTTGCATAAGCAAGCTTTAAAGTTTAAACTCAGCTATTCAGTACGACATATGTTCATATACATAAAAAAAAACTTATCACTTATACTTCATATTTTATATTTGAGTACCTTGATAGGCAATATTCATCATTTTCATTTACCCCAGTGCCGCAAAGGCTCCCACCTACGGTGGGGTAAGGGGCTTGATAGGCAATATTCTTGGAGGAAATGTTGTCAAACTTTTAAAATAGTAGACATGTCATAAGAAATTCACAGTTTTCAAACATGTTTCAGTTTAAGTGAGAATTAGATTTTTCCTTAAAAATAGTTTGGATGTAAATTAGCTAGCCTGTAGCAGTAATTTATAGCAATTATAGCAATCATACCAATATACGAAATACGTAGTATTCAAAAAGCTTGATTTCAAGTCAGCAAAATGCATTTGCAAGACTTTTCCAAGGATTTCACCCACTCCAAGCATCACAAGCTTTCAATAGCAATTACCATCATAAAACTTTTGAAATAGCAGACAACTCATAATCAATTCATTCTTTTCAGACAAATTTCAGTGTAACTGAGAATTAAATTTTGACATTAGAATAAACGGAAGCAATTAGGGTTTTTCGTTTAGTTTTATAGAACCTCAGAATAAAAAGGTTTAATCTTACTAGGTAGCAATTTTATTGATGTAGGAGCTGCTTGAATTGAACGAACACTTCTTCTCTTGGTCGTAAGCTGAATTCCGACTTAGAAAAATTCCAGAACCGTCCAAAAGATAGAGATGCTGCACTCGGCTTCGCCAAGAGATTATTGGTCAGATTTCTAATCTGGGCGGAGGTGAATTCCCGACCGGATTTGTTTGCGACCTGGTAGAAGTAAAGAAAAATGAAACGATGCAGACCATTGGAATTTTCCGGAGCCGAGTCCTGACAGATGAAAAAGCCGTACCAGAATTTTCTATTGTACAGGCCTCTCTAATCAAATTTCTAATTTTTTAGATGAAATAGCTTACGTGGAATGTCATCCAATTATATTTTGACATATGTGGAATGCACGAAAACATTCTACAATGAGAATGCACCAGAGAGCCACCATAAATTCTAATGTACCGTAGCTTTTCAATCTGACGTAGAAGAGTTTCAAGGTGACATGAATTCTAATCTAATTTTTAATTTTAACATGAATTCTAATTTAACTGTAACTCTAATCTAAGGTACTGCGTACTACAATTATAATTAATTAATTAATATACTCACATAATGTTAAATCAGAAAGAGATTTTAAAATATTCTAATGAATGATTGCTTAGAGGATGACACCTGGCAAAACTTTTCATAATTGTATCTTTGAAATGTATTACTTATAGATTACTTATAGATAGATAGTATTACTCCTAAATGAGATCAAAAGTAGCCCAAAATTCCACAGTAAGATTATACTCCCCCGTCCCGTTTTTTAGTTCTTACTTTGACCCTCACACATTTTTAGTAATTAAATTTGACTTTGCTGTTTAGACACTGTTTAGACACTATTTGACATTGTTTGACACTGTTTTGCATTGTTTAACACTGTTTTGATGTAGGAAAACTTTCCATTTAGGGAAATGAGAAGATGATGTTGGGACGTCCCAAAAAAGAAAGAAGGAAGTTAATAGTGGGACGGAGGTAGTACTTCTTTTATTCTCAAAATAGGACTAATATATGTCTCTTCTGTCTATTTTAACCCAACCTATAATTTCTAATAGATTTATTTATAAAGAAAAAAGAGATATTACCCGAAATAGGACTAAAAAGGTTTGAAAATTCCAAAATAGGACTATCATGTTTTTATTCCCAAAATAGGACTAATTACTGTCATGTTTTGGCAGTACCAGATTTCAAACATGGCAGTATTTTCCAAACTTGACAGTAATTACTCCTATTTTGGGAATAAAAAACATGTCAGTCCTATTTTGGAATTGTCAAACTGTTTTAGTCCTATTTCAGGAATTTTCCCATTAAAAAATCATAGCTCTTTATCATAAACACATAAAAAACGTGGTAATTTTTTCATAAATTAATAAAATCGTGAAAATAAAATAAAATATAAAAAATAAAATAAAAGTAAACACAAAATAATATCAAAAGCTAAAACAATCTTAGAAGTAAAAATAAAATACCTAAAAAATCTAAAAAGTATTTAAAAATTATTATATTATTATTAGTATTATTATACGGTAATTATAATTATAATTACAGAAAAATATTATAATTATAATTATAGCTACAATTACAATTAGTGTAATAGGTGTAATTAATATATTTTTAATTATAATAAATATAATTATGATTATATGTAATTATACTTAAATTATTTTTAAGATAAAATTAAAATTTTAATAATTATAATAAATAATTATAATTAAAGAAATATTCAAATCAGATATGAAATATTGAGATTTGATCTGAAGAATTCAGATCAGATTAGAAAAATTCAGGCCAGATTAGAAAGATTCAAATCAGATCAGACTATATCAGAAATTTTCAGATCGGATCAGATAAGAAGTATTCAAATCATATTAGAACTTTAAGAATTTAGAATAGAAATAATCAGATCAGGTGAGGAGAACGACTTCTAAGTCCTATTTTGATAATTTAAATTTTAAATTCCTATGGTTGCAATTATCCTTTTTATTTAGTTATATTTAAGAAAATCTCTAATATACGGAGTATTATTCATTTATTCATAGATTCCTAGTTTCCTAAATATTCCTATTGTTCTTAGCTTAGTTGTACACGAGCAGGATTTAGATTCCTAATCCAACCGGAGATAATATTTCGGATTCCTAATCTTTCAACTATATCAGGTTATCCAACCCGGTCTTCTATATCACTCTGAAGATAAAATCCGTCCTTCACACCGCTAGGCATATTATTCTTGCGTTTCAGCAGGCCATCATCCCAGCAATCCCATCATATACAAATACGAAGTATATATTTTTGGTTAAGGTTCCATGAGGAATTTAGGATTGATAGGCAAAAAAGCATTGCCCGCCGGCAGCAGGAAGGAAGACGAAGAAGAGGAAAGGGCAGGCTGGGGCGATCTAAACGAGGAGCTGTTGTGCTGTATTTTGTCGCGTTTGGATGTGATGGGAGATGAGGTGAGCTTTGAGTGCGTTTGCAAACCATGGAAGTTGGCGGCGGCAAGAAGGATGCCGCCGCCACAGGCGGCGTTAGCATCTCATCACGATTCTCCGCCTGCTTTAGATTCGGCGCCGTATCTGATGTACTTGAACCACAGAACTGGGAGGTTCAATTTCCATGACCCGACTCGCAGAGGTGCCACATATTCAGTACGCATCCCTGAACTATTGGGGGATTACCCGGGCGAGGTTGAATGTTATTATGCCAGCTGCGGTTGGCTGCTTCTTCGCAAGGGCCCCATGACATACTTCCTTTTTAACCCCTCCACCATGGATAGAATTGACCTTCCTCCAGTACGTGACATGCCCATCTCATTCGAATCCATGTGTTTCTCTGGTTCGCCCACTTCTTCCTCGTGCAGAATTGTTGGCTTTGTCAGTTATGTCCCAGAACAAGTGGCCTTTATTGGAGAAACAATGGTGGGGTGTGATTCTTGGTCCGTGTTTGCCAACACTAGCAACCCAGATGACTTCGTGGCATCCATATGCCCCCCCATTGTCTGTGATGGAAGCTTTTATGTTTTGGGTGAATCTGGGAATTTGGGATGCCTCTGGTTTCGACCTCCCAAGAAGGGACTGACTGAGGTTTCTTGGGAAGTTATTGGCAAGCCAGCAGATGAACTGTTTGAGACATTCAAAGATCAATTCCTCCTCGAAAGCGATGGCGACATCATGTGCGTGGCAACTCTACAAGGAGGAGGCAAGGTTTGTGTTCTCAAGCTTGATCCACACACTCAAGTGTGGCAAAAGGTGGATGATCTCCAAGGAAAAGCCTTGTACGTTTCTCAATCCGCATCCTTCTCCCAAAAAGCAGTTTCTAGAGGAACTGGTAACAAGATCTACTTTCCTAGATTCTACAACAATAGAGGACTGTTTTATTGCCTGGGAACCAAGGAGTGGCGCAACTTTCCCCATACTTTTTCAAGTACAAACTATTACAATACCAGTGCCTTACTACATTCTGCCTGGATTGGACTTTCTCCTCATCATAATAGCTAGCTAGTTTAAATCACTTACTGCTCTTGTATAAACATACCACCAAAATTACTTTGTTTCAGATATTTATCTAATTTTATAATTGCTAAATTTGACCGTTAGTGATCCCGAGTATTCATTATGAGCACGTTTAACCAATTAGAAGAAGCAAAAAGGACTGACATGGTTATCTCATTTGTTGCATCTGTGACCTTGCCGTGAACCAAAATGATCAGGTCAGTGGAACAGTGGAACTCTTCTTAGAAGCGTACCAATAGAAAGAACCAGACACTACTTTGTTCCAGTTCAAAACCCCATTATATTTTCTTAATCTTCTTCTTAATAGTGATTTTTTTTACAGAAGTAAATAAGATACTTTACAGGTAGCAATTTAGAATAAAAGAACCAAATCAAACGAAAAACGAATCTCATAGAAATGCTCTGCTAGAGTTGCTTCTTCAGATCCACGTCACGAAGCTTACCTAGAATTTATCCACCCGATTCGAAGTTATTGGGCAGGCATAAAATGTAACAAATATGGAACTAGAGTTATCGCTATCCATCTTCCACAAACACTTGAGTTTTACTATGTCATACGGAGTATTATGTTTTGGAAAAATAGATTCCCTAGAGAGACTTGAATGCTGCTATGTCCTACTATGCTTTAGAAAATAAAGATTTTTTTGCATAGTACTCCTCCATTCTCATTGAATACTCAACAAGGAATCAGTCCAACCTTTTGTAACTCGACGAGAATTTGCAACTCTGAGCTTCATTTTAGAATGTCCTTGGATATTTTTTCAATAACTCAGCGGTTCCGTCATTTTCGTGCTCTCTCAAATCAGTAATGGAAGTCTACATTCCAGAAACACTTGAGTTTTACTATGTGTTATTATGTTTTGGAAAAATTGATTCCCTAGAGAAAATAAAGAATTTGTTTGCATAGTAATCCTCTATTCTCATTGAATACTCAACAAGGAATCAGTCCTACTATGCTTTAGAAAATAAAGAATTTGTTTGCATAGTACTCCTCCATTATCATTGAATACTCAACAAGGAATCAGTCCAATCTCTTGTAACTCAACGAGAATTTGTAACTCTGAGCTTCATTTTAGAATTTCTAAGAACGAGAATGTCCTTGGATATTTTTTCAATCAAAGTTCTTAATTGCGTAACTCTTGATTATTTTTTGTGATCGGATTTATGTTCAACTAATGTTCTTAAAAATAGTTACTCTAAGATAGATTTCTAATTCCGATTTAATTTTTTTTTTCATTTATGATTATAAATAGTTGACTTGGGAATATGGTTTAGAATAGGTTATTGACTTAACGGGTTTTTTTTATAAAAGCGGAATCAACTATTATTAATAAAATCATTGTTCAAATAGGTGGATTATCAAATTAAAACCAGCCACCAGACATAGAAATAGCGCCTAGCTAGTTGCTAGCTAGTTGAAGAGAATCTTATTCAACATCAATGTGATCCCATCCAAGAGAATCTTATAGAAAGTGCTTCAGCCTCCTTAGGGAGATTTTCTCCGGGCTTGTGAATAGCTCCCCCGGCTAGAAACAATCCTTCGTTATCTCTGGCAACCCATCCAAGTCCAATAGCACCAGATCCGCGATGGACAGCTTCGTCAACATTGACCTTATTTCAACCTGCCTCATGTCTGACCCAAAACGAGGCCACTGGAGGCTGGAGCTACCTGTTTAGCCGTTGAACTCCCCACCTGGGCTCGTCGCCAAGCTTCCAGAGAGGAGTTTCAACAGCTGCAATTCTCGCCACAGAAACAGCTATGTTGTTCCACAATTTCTCGTTTCTGCTTCTTCAAATACTCCAGAGATACACGACAAAGCTGCCGCAAAAATTCTCATCCCCGCATCTAAAAATCCTTCTGTCCAGGCCACAAAAGACTGCCCTGCAACTTGTAAGTTCCAATTTAAAGTTCACCATAGTTGTTGAGTCACTGAACACTCCATAAAGAGGTGTTCATCACTTTCATTTTCAACTGTACACAGAACACAAATCGGTGAACAGTTAACTCTTTATTCTCAGTTTATTCGCAGTCGGAAGGCAACCAGAACACAGCTGCCTAAATAAGGCTTTCACTTTTGGAGGTCAATGTAATCTCCGCTTCTGGAGGTCAATGTAATCTTTGTCCAAGCGAAATTCTGTACCACCGCTTCACTGTTAGTCTGAAAACGATAAGCACTCTTAACCGTATACTGCCCGTGCTCTTCCCAAGGCCAAATAAAACTATCTGGAATTTATCTCAAGCTCACCGCAATTCCACGAATCATCTATTTGTCTCATGAGTAAAAAATTCAGAAATAATATCTATTTCCCAGCCAGGAGACTCCAAACTTAATAAACCCTTTACTGTGATGTCTTCCAGTCCGTGCACCACCTCTGACTCCACTCTCATATTTTCTAAATTCGGTAGCCATGGATCTTTCTAACCCTTAATCAAACTCCCATCACCCACCCTCCAACGAAATCCCTTTTTAACCATCCCTTTAGCCTCCCAAAGACTTCTCCAAATAAAAGAAGGGTTGTGGCCAACTTTAGCCTCCAAAAAAGAATTTTTGGAGAAATATCTAGCGCGAAAAACGGAAGCTTCTAAGCTGTTTCGATTTTGCATAAAATCCCACACTTGTTTCCCTATCATTGCCAGATTGAACTCCTTAAGCTTTCGGAAACCCATACCTCCCTTTGACTTTGGTGAAGACATTCCCGCCCACTCTTTCCACTTTATACCACGCCCGGATGAGCCAGTCCACCAAAATTTATACATTTACCTTTCCAGCTCCGCATAAAGCTCTTGAGGAAATAAGAACACCTGCATAGCATAGCTGGGCATAGACAGCACCACGGCTTTTAGAAGGACCTCACGTCCAGCTCTTGAAAGAAACTTATGATTCCAACTATTAAGCCTTTCTTTAATAAAGGCCAAGACTTCCTTCTTACTCCTTCCCACAAGCGATGAACTCCTTAAGCTTTCGGAAACCCATACCTCCCTTTGACTTTGGTGAAGACATTCCCGCCCACTCTTTCCACTTTATACCACGCCCGGATGAGCCAGTCCACCAAAATCTATACATTTACCTTTCCAGCTCCGCATAAAGTTCTTGAGGAAATAAGAATACCTGCATAGCATAGCTGGGCATAGACAGCACCACGGCTTTTAGAAGGACCTCACGTCCAGCTCTTGAAAGAAACTTATGATTCCAACTATTAAGCCTTTCTTTAATAAAGGCCAAGACTTCCTTCTTACTCCTTCCCACAAGCGATGGCAGATTTACTTTATGGTTTATTACCTGGAGACTGAACAAGCAGTAGAAAGACAATCACTTTCAATAAGATGAATAAAGGCTTGTTTAGTAGCAACATGTGAAGTGCTTCATATGTTGCTAATATTTTTTTTTGGAAACTTGATCCATAAGTCGTTGTGATATAACATCTATTTCCTGCTACAAAATTCCACGCTACTACTCCAACTAAAGGGTAGGAGGGAGAAAACAACTTCATTACCGGGTGGACTATTGAAATGCAGCCTGCTACAACTTGTCTACCACTTCAATCCCTAAAGAGGATTTCTCCATTAACCTTATTTCCCCATGCTGCCATGTTAATGGCACAGAGAACATTAAATTTTATAAAAAAAGAAATATATGAATGAAATACAAGGAACTAGCTACTCTAATATTTAGTGAAGGTTGCAGCATCAGTATTTGCATTTCAAGAGCCAGATATATGCACCTTGGTGTTTGTTTAAAAACACGTACGTGAAACACTATTTTTTTCTATTATTCTTTTTATAAAACTTCAAGAGCTAGATGTATACTTTTTAAACTTTATTAAGGAAAACCCAACCATGTGCCTACAACAATTTTTTATATGTTAATAATAAAATAGAAATAGTGAGTTATATATGAATAAATCCATATGGCAGAAAAAAATGTGACATTTTATACCCAGCCACTATTTTTGAAAATTTTGTGACTATGATCATGGATACATTTGCAATGTAGTGAACATGATTTTTTACAACTAGATTAAGGGTCCAAGGGCCTTTTTAAAAAAAAAACTACCATTGATATAACAAAGCTTTATCAGACAGCTTTTTTTGCTTGTGTTGTGCAATAGTATTTCGTATATGTACAACAATATATGGACACTTTTTGTATATATGCACATAAACACTACCACAAGCATAGGTATGAACCCTCCATAAATTTAGATCTTTTCTCATGCATGTGGAAAGTTCTGCAGAAAATTATCTGGAAAAAATCTTTTTATTGACCTGTCCTTATTTACCACCCTGCATCTTTACTAAATGCCGGTGTAGCTAATGGGGCAATGTCTTGCTCGGATTCAGCCCCAAGTTTGATAAAAATGTTTTACTTTATTTGTAGATAAAATAACTTTTAAAAAAAATACCATGGGAATGCATTACTTTATTTGGTCCTTCCAACATGATTATCCCCATCTTACTGTACGATGATTATTGAAATATTGTTTCAATCTTTGATTTTCCTCATCTTACTTAGCAGCGTTATAAGTTTGGGACATGTATTTTTTTTTGCTTTTCTAAATTCTCCGATTTCGGTGAAGATTATATAGTTGAGTTGAAATGTTGTTTACAGTTTCTAAGAGTATGATATGATTGTGAAGTGAAATTAACGATCTTGGTTCTATTTATATATGCCAAGGTAGTGTGGCAGGCACATTTTCACTTAGTTTTAATCCTAAAATATTTAGGATTTTTTTGCCTCTTCAGACTTGTGTTGATTATTTGGCGATTTTGTCTATTATTGGTTGTTGGCTGCTGATATTTGATGCTTTAAATTTCACTTATCTTTCACAAATTGCTCGAGGCTAATAACTCAATTGATATAGTAATGTGGGCATGTGGCATATTACATGAAGGTGCACATAGCTTAAATTTGCATTTCATTACAAGATCAATATGCGTGACTTACTACTGCCTATTCACACGTAATTTTTTCAACAAAATATTACATGCAGCTTTCTAACTTGGAATTTTTTTTCAACAAAATATAGTTTACTACACCACAGATTCAATTGGGGAGATCTTAACTCTGGTAGACACTGAGTTGTGGGAGAACAAGGCTAATGATATTGTTAAGGATGATGCGGTACCAGAACCCAGTAAATATCGAAGGAGCTAACATCTTACCTAATCCTTGTGAGGAAGTTTCTGCTATAAAAAGGGAAAAAGAGAAGGTTGCTCGGGAAGAGAAACGGGAAAAGGAAACACTATTTATAGCATTTTTCATTGAAGCATCTAACCACACACTTTGTAGATACTCTGGCTTTGTAGTTTTGGCACTTATCTTCGGAGGATTTAGTTTTCCAAATATTGGGGACACCCTACTATGTGTGAACATATCTTAAACAAGTGTTCCAAATATGATGAACTTAGTTCCTCACGATTTCAATCACTAGATGATGACTCCACTCGAAACTAAATTGCTGGATTAATTCGAAACTTGTTCCTCATGATTTCCATTAAGAGTCTCAGGGAATAAGAGATAAAAATTTCTCGCTCCACCCATTCGTTACCTCCGTTTCAATTCTCCGCTCATCTCCTGCACTGCATACTTCTCGCTCCACCCCGCCGCACTTACTTACAAGTTTAGATGCAAGGTAATTTCGCACGTCTCCTATTTACGACCTGTTTCTCTTCTTCTCACCATGAATATCTCATGCCATTTCTGTGTATTTCTTCTCAATCAACTTCTCACCTTTGGAAGATGCAAACACACTCTCCGTGTGAACCGTTGCTGGAATTTATGTTAGGTACCTGACACAGATCTGAGCAATACAACAAACTAACAAGCACAAATTTGATGAATGATAGGGAAAGAGTGTTTATTGATGGAAGGAGATACACCGTAGGCTACAGGGACTTCTTAGGCAACCTGGACTTAGACAACAAGGCAACAATCTGATAAAACAACAGTCTGCCTCACCCGTTATTAACCCTTCTATTTATAGCCAATACCCATATATGGATATGCCAACTATTACTATTAACCCCTTACCTTCTAAATATACTACTACAAGTACACTTACTAATATTATTATTTCTTATTAATAGCCTACTAACCCAGATTCCTATCATTACTCCCCCCCTAAATAACCACCTTGCCCTCAAGGTGGGTAATAAGACACAGCCTTGATCTTGAACTTCCTCTTCATCCTGGAACCTCTTCCTTCCCAGTACCTCCTTGGTTTCTGATCTAAGAGCTTCATTTCTTTTACTTTCATCATCACATCTTTCACAGCAAACCGGAGCAGAAACTGGTTATAAACATTCCCTGGAATTACACTTGAAGCCTCTTCTTTGTAACCAATATCATCATGTAAAGGTTCTGCAATATAAAATCCAGCTGCCCTTGTAGTAATTTCAGCTGCCACATCATAGAGAACCGCAGCAACTTGATTACCCAGATCTTCATCATAATTCCGCAGTATCTTCTCTAAAATAGAAAGAATCTGAGGGGTTTCATCTCTAAAGGGATCACATAGCCAACAAATTATAACCTTTTTAAGGGCACCCATCCAAACTTGAACTGTTCTCTCAGTAGACCTCCTTAGGACTTCCATAACTACTAGATAGAAAACCTCCTGGATCTCACATTTGGATATAGCAAAGAGGCCCCCAAGCAAGCTAATCATTTCTAGTCGTATATCCAACTCATCTGTCTCTTCTTTGGATTGCATCATAGGAGAATTATAAGTGTAGACTGTCCATTGATATGGTCTATAAGGATTTTTCATTCCACCCAGCAATTCCATAGCAACTTTGATATAATTGGCAGCTTCTGTTTTCAAAGATAAATCCATCAGGTGCTCGCTATTGGAGACATCAATCCCTGCAGTTCTTTCAAGGTAAGAAACAATATCATCCTCTATTTTCTGGGCTGCCTCATACCTTCCATTCAATGCCGATGAAACCTGATGCAAATTCTTATATAAATTCTGCCAATGAACTTCATCCGAGGCATCCTTTGCACAAAGGATATACAGGTTGACCGCATTCTTTTGCTCTTGTCTATGAACTCTTTCTGCAGCCTCCTTTGAGTTATAGAATGATCGAATAGAAATCTGCCCATCAATATGAACATAGCTTTTTCTTTTCTCAGAAACAAACTGCTGCACTCTATCAAGTATCTTTGAATTGAATATGCTTTCTAAAGCAGTCTCACCACTCTCCAAATGTTTTTCAGATTTCAGGCTACTGAGATATATTCCCCATTCTCCATCTCTAGTACTCAGAAGTAATATCATAGAAGGGCTATTCACATCGATGAACTCTTGAAACCGCCTCCTCCTTTCATCCAATTTGACATGGCCATCACTGCCAATTACGAATTCTGTACTTCCTCTCCTATCCATGCCAGAACCACTTTGAGTTCTGTCCACCGGAAGCTCAGTAGTGACCGGATCTCCCGTAATACCTACATGGGTTTCAGGAACCAGCAATTTTGTCATCAGCAATTTTGAGTCAGAAACCTCTGGGTTCTCCAATTCAGAACCACCAATTTTGTCCTCAACGGACTCATATTCCAGGGCACTCGAGAGTTGATTCACCCCAGCAGATCTCTCATCTCGTCTTTCATCCTCATCAATGAATCTATCTTCAGAAATAGGTCGTGGCTGATTAATGAATTCCGAACTGAGCTGTGAAGCTTGCCAAGTAAGAGAATCAGCTGGCAATTTCTCCTGGCTTTCATCGTTTCCCTCGTTGAGCTTCTTTGCATTTGCTCTGGCTCGTGAAACACTTCTATCAACACAGGAAGGTTGCAGCAGGTTGACAGACTCCAAACGGAGCGGTGGCGCTTGAGAAGTGTGAGAATCTGCTGGCGCTGGAGCTAGCACACAGTGAGCCGCGGCTTGAGATTGAGAAGAAACCTGTGAACTACTGAGGGAATAAACTTTCGATGTTGAACTGCAAGGAAAAACAGTAGTTCGCGTAGAGGATTGCGAACTGAGAGAAGTTCTTTGCGATCTCGTATACTGATTCCCTGTGTTCAGACTGCTTGTAGGCTGGAAATGCCTAGTCATGGATTCCTTCAGAGCCTTCCAACTATATTCCCTCGTCTGAAATTGCCACCCTTCAAACCAGTCAAACGCCTCTTCCTCCATAGCTTCTTCTGCTATTTCAACTTTCCTTCCCTCCGCAGTAGATTTGAGTCGGAAGTATTCTTCCATCTTAACTATCCATTTGTCTACTTTTTCTCCATTAAACCAGGGTAATTCAACCGTACTTCCTGCGCCAATATCTCTTCTACTACTATCCTGACCCATACTAGAGCTAGAGTGATCGTATTTACCTTCCGACGCAGCTAGATGCTCAGATTCCTTTGTTCGATGATGTTGAGAGTTGGCTCGTTGTGAAGCTGATTGCAAGGGAGATGAAGATCTGCGAGTAGAAACAGTTCGCAATGAACTGGGAGATGCCGCTGTTGGTGACGGCGAACTGGACGCAGCTGTTAGCGATTGCGATCCAGGGAAACTGGTTTGCGATGTCGATTGGTGAGATAGGAGTGGCGAAGACGAACTGGAGCTCTGAGACGCAGCAGGAGACTCAGAAGAATCCTGCGAACTCAGAACAACTGATAGCGACGAAGTTGTTGATTGCGATCTGGGAACTTCTACGTGCGACACAGTCGGCACAGAACTGAGAGCGGAAGTTCGCGATGCACTGGGAGATGAAATCCGAGACGTAAAAAATTGCGATGAACTTGGCGATGCTACAAGAGACTTAGTTCGCATTTGCGAACTGTTAGAAGCTGGACAACATGATTGTCCCAAATGATGATGCTGTTGTGGTCGTGAACTTCTCCAGGACTGAATTTGTTCCTCCATCGCTGCTGCTATAGATGCTTCGATGTTGCTTTGAATCTGTTCCTTCATCGTTGTGGCAAAGTTTGACATCATCGCCCTCATCTCCTGTTCCCACGCCTCCATGCGCTTTTCCAGTTCCGACCGTCGCGGTTCTCTGCTCTGCTCAGCGACCAACTTCGTTCGTTCGTATCTCAGCATCGCCAATCAATTTTCCTCTTAGGCGGTAGAGATGTGCCGATCGATTAAGTCTCCAGGAGCGAGCGAGTGCTCTGATACCAATGTTAGCTACCTGACACAGATCTGAGCAATACAATAAACTAACAAGCACAAATTTGATGAATGATAGGGAAAGAGTGTTTATTGATGGAAGGTAATACACCGTAGGCTACAGGGACTTCTTAGGCAACCTGGACTTAGACAACAAGGCAACAATCTGATAAAACAACAGTCTGCCTCACCCGTTATTAACCCTTCTATTTATAGCCAATACCCATATATGGATATGCCAACTATTACTATTAACCCCTTACCTTCTAAATATACTACTACAAGTACACTTACTAATATTATTATTTCTTATTAATAGCCTACTAACCCAGATTCCTATCAATTTAAGACCTCGAGAAGCTTCGCCTGCCTCTCTCTTAGCCGAAAGCAACCCCCTTTCGAAGAAGTCAAGACCCGCGCCTCACATTTGTTGAGGCGTTTCTAGATTTGTAGCAGAAAAGCAAGGTACTCACAATAGAAGTGGATGGTTATCTAAATTCCTAAAAACTATGCTTTCGTTCTTATATACATGCAATTAGAAGTTACCTAATCCTAAAACAATGCTGAATATTGAGCCGAGAAAAACACTGCTAATATTGACCCGAGACATGAAAAATGTGTTTGTTTGCCTTTTCTGTTTGAAAAATGACGACATCCTGTTCTCTTGTTTTAAATGCTAAAACAATTCTGAATATTGAGCCAAGAAAAACAGTGTTATTTGAGAAACTCCCCAGCTTTCATAGACATCATATGTAGGGTTGGAAGCTTTAGGCATCCTTCAAAACCCAAAATATGATTTAGGCTCAACCTGTGTAGCCCTTTGCCATCAGCAAATATATGCCTAACATGAGCTATGCCACTATCTTTAAGTCAAGTGTCAGGTTTTCAACTCAATTTTAGATCAGGAAACAAGTTTCGGGTTCTCCTTTTGAGATTGAGGAGTTGTTTGTGCCTGAAAAAGGGCAAGGAACCGGGAAGGGAGAGGAGTGGTTCTCAACAAGTTTTGGTCAGTGGCTCGATATATTAGGGATAATGTTGTGATTAACTGACTGCTGTGGTTCTTAATCAGGGAGCTTTGTTTAAGTGATGTTTGACTGGATTGTGGCATTTTTATGTTGAAATTTTAGGATTGTCTTTTACTTGGGTGGTTGCAACTGATTTCTTTGAAATATTCAACTGGAATCATCTGTTAGGAAAAGTCTATGGGTCTACACAAGAATATTCTGCAATTCTAGAGCAAATTTTAGGTAGGGCTGATTTTGGGGGTTGATTTTGTCGCTTTATAGAAAGGTTAGGCTGATCTCCTACACAGTTTAATCAAACATCAGTTGCTTTTGATTTTATCGTTTTTTCCTGCTGCAACTGATCTTGAGAAAAGGTTTTTTGTTGGCTCTTCCGCTGGGAATATTTGAAAAGATTTCATTTGAGAAAAGCTTCCCCACGTCTACTATTTCATTAAATCATGTGATTATTTTCTAATCTAATAATGAATTTGTAACTATTTCAATTCGATTGACTTTGCAGAACACATGCTGCAGCTCTTATTCTATGTTTTCAATCTTTTTCCAGGAAAGTAAGAGAAGAAGATGTACACTTATTTAATGATCGAGTTATGGGATATTTTAATCACATGTACTCTTCTATCTTATGCTCGGGAAAACAGGAGAAGAAAAATGCAGACTTCTTATGCTCAGAAAAACTTTCCAAGATTCAGATTGGTTTAGATTGGTTTGAATTGTAAACAAGACGTCTACAATTTCATCAAATCAGGTGATTATTTTCTAATCTAATAATGAATTTCTTACCATTACATTGGATAAAGTACCCTTTTTAGATTGGATAAAGTACCTTTTTTATTTGATGCCATTAAATAATTTAATTAATGGCATTAAAATCCATATTTGTATGTCATAATTTAAGTAAATAATTTGTTATGTGTATGGGAAGATACTCAGCTTAGTCCTCATCAGTTTTCCATTTATTCTCCACTCATTCAGTATTTAATCTCTATAACATATTTTCCAGTCTTTAATTTTAGTTTACTCAACAGGGTACATTTTTTCCATTCATATTTTATAATATCTGGAGTTTGGATCGAATTATCTGAAGAATGAGTTTCCTGGCCATCAATCCATTTTTTCTGCAAACTTACTTTTATTTATACTACTTTTTATATTAGCATTACTAATTTTACTATTTCACATTGGTCAAATTTGTTACTGATTCACATTAGCTTGTGTGTTTCTCATCTACTTAAAGATAATAACGAAAACAACAGGATAATGAACAACTCTACCTGATTTTTTTCGAATTCTGAATTTTTAAGTAGGCTTTCACTTCACTTCTCAAAACTGTTACAACTAGAAAGTGTTGGCTTGCACTTACAAATTATCACTTGGGCATGTTGGGTGAGAATCTGGACACAAGAAACATACATATTTTGTTTTTATGATGATTAGTATTGGTATTATGATTAGAGCGTGTCGCAGCTTTCTAATTTAGGTTGGTTTATTTGGATGGTCATATCATATGCATCCATTTTATTTATGCCAATAAAACTAAATCCCTTTTTTAAGGAAACAAACGTTTCTGCCTTAAATTGTGCTTTTTTGAAGATGCTATAATGACATTTATCAAAAGGTGTGTTCTTCGGTACCTTGACAAAATCAGAGGTACTGTACCTATCCATTAAGATTAAGACACGTGTACTCTTGTTTAGAGCAAGGATCAATATATTAATGCCTTCGTTTCTCCCCTATTTTGCTAACTTACCCCTAAATTATTTGACATCTAATCTGTATCCGTTCTACGTTAAGCCTCCGTTACGCTACCGTCAAACTATCTTATTCATCGCTCAACAACTGTGTTGTTTCTCAATCATTCTTCTCTATCGAGTGCAAAGGAAGCTTGTCTGCAAGAGTGCAAGACCCACCCGTCGAGCAGGGACAGAGACTCAGCGATGCATCCCCCGGTGGGTGTGCTCCTCTCCCTGTGGATGAGGGGGAAGTGTTAGGCCAATCGACCATCAAGTGCTAAAGGAAAAGACGGTAGCGGGTGGGTGAAGAACAGAGCCCCTGTCTGAAGCATAACCAGAGGAGTGGATTTCGAAAGAGTGGGACAAACGCAACGAAATTCAGTGAATACTGATTACACCTCCATGGAAGTTGCCAGATCAGCCATTACGGGAGTAAATGATCAGAATGACCTTCAATGGGGCTGGGATGATGATGACACAGGCGAGGGCATGGATATTCAAGCACTTCCAGGGCTTGAACTCATAGCCATTATCCTTGTCATCGCTACATAGGCAATTTTTTTTTATTACGGTAGGTGTCTGGACTATTTGGTTGACTAACCCTCAAGTAGCCCTTCCAGGGCTCGAACTCATGACCTCAAAAACCATCGAGAGATCTCTTCAACACCACTTCATGGAAAATGTTGAATTTATCCAAGACCAGATGTAATGCCATCTTAAGCCTTGTACCATCATCAACCTGTAAATTATAAAAAAAAAATCATCACATAGTAGATGGTGGTGTTTGGTGTTGCTTAGGGGTGAATGGTAGGATTTGAGGTAGGATTTGAGGTGGTGTTTTCCATGGGCTTGATTTTTTGTTTTGATTCAGAAAGGTCTCCTTTACGCTATCTGTCGATTGAACAATGTTGGCCATAGTAGATTCCAATTTGCTTACACGTTCAGCGAGAACCTGCAATCTACAAAAGTTAGTTGTCTCTGATTCATTATTTATACTACTAAATCAACTCAAGTAAACTTCTGTTCACTGTTATTCATTTGTATTAATTAATTAATATTTACCAGAATGATTTTGTTTCAAAGAATTCATATTAGGGTTGGACTACTGGACCCTTTATAGCATTCTTATGTGATATATTACCTTATGATCATCTATCAATAGGAGTCATATATATACCTTAGAAGCCAACTCTCTTTCCAAAAACATTGTTGCTGCATCTTAGATATTATGATACACAAAAGGATTTCAATAAAGAAACGAAACCAGAATGTCAAATAGATTTACAAGCTGGAAACAATTAACAGACCAACTTTGAACTCCACTAATTTGGAACTCGAGATGCAGCAGATGAAAAGTATGTTATAGTTGCCTTTTTAGCATTGAGTGACTTGCTAGTTTCATACATAACTGTGCACTTTGGGGTTAAGGCACCTATCCTCTCTTTTTTCAAATTGATTTTTCCCCACTTGATTTTTTTTAAATGCAGCTATAACTTTTACTGAAGTGATTGCTATTATTAAGATGTTGTTACTTTCAAACGTAACTGTGCACTTTAGGGTTAAGGCGCTTATCCTCTCTTTGTTACTTATTTATACTAGACTCAAACACTTCTTATTATTAATACTTCTAATAAGCCCGGTCCGTTACTATTATTATTAGTCTACTATTAGGCCCAGGTTCCTATTAATACTCCCCCCTAAACATCCACCTTGCCCTCAAGGTGGGTGATAGGACACAGCCACAATCTTCATCTTTTCTTTCATCCTAGCACCTCTTCCTTTCCAATACTGGCTGGATTTCTGGATACTTAGCTGGGCTGCTTCCATCTTCTTCCCTATGCTTTTGATAGCAGATTTACACAAACGCCAGGACCTTCTATCCAGAATTTACTTGAAAACTTCAGGGAACTCCTTTATAAACTCATTTCTTCTGCCTTCAATTTACTGTTCTTGCTTTAGCTCATTACTTTGTCCCTCCCTGTGCCACAGATGTCCATCTCCTTGAATTATATGATTCAGCCCTTGCTTCTTCCATTTTATGATCAGGTTTTGGAAATTAACTTCCATATCACCTAAATCTGTTAACCATTCCATGCCCAGGACTACATCAATGCCTCCCAATTCCATTAAGTAATATGTCTGCTGAATCTCCACCCCTTGTATGTTCAGGCCCACCCCTGCACACTTGCCATAGTTGGTTATGCAATCTCCATTTCCAGTTTGTACTTTGTATTCCTGAATTGGAGTGTAAGGGATCTTCCATCTTTCCACCAAGTCTTGTGAGATAAAATTGTGAGATGCACCACTATCCATAAGTACATTCACTGTCAGTTCTCCATCAGGCCACCTCATTCCTCCTTTTACCATAAATGTTTTCTTAAATGGTATGCCCTCCTCACCTAATACTGAAAACTGCATGGTCTTCAATTCTAGGGGTATGGTGTTATCTTTTCCAGACTCCAGTAATTCAACTTCAGAACCAGCTTCATCCTCAGAATTCTCCACTAGGATCATTTTATAGTTCCTCATCTTGCAAACATGTCTCCTACCCAGTTTTCACCGCATTTAAAACAGAGTCCCTTCTTGCTTCTATCTAATAATTCTTCTTGGGATAATCTGGAGCCATTCCTTATCATGTTCTGCTCTTGCACATCAGAATTTATCTTGTTATCAACTGTAGCCTTGTCCAAACTAATAGAGTTAACAGGTTGATTCTTCCATTTATTTTCATCCTCCCAATTATGATGCTGACTATTACCATGCCATTTCTTCTTCCTTTCATCTTTGTTCTTCATGATACAAACTTCAGTGTTCTTGTTTTCAATTAAAGAAGCCACATCCATAACTTCAGCCAAAGTTCTTGTAGAGTATAGCTTCAACTCAGCTCTTACATCGCGCTTAAGGCCCTTAAGAAACGCTCCCTTCAAAACCTCTTGAGTTAAGTGTCCCTGTGTCGCAATTGCAGTCTCAAATTTGTCTCGATATTCCTCTATGGTGTTTTTCTGCTTCAAACTGAATAAAGGCCCCAGGGGATCCTTGACCATGTCTGGCTGGAAGCATCTGGTCAAAGCTTGAGTAAAAGAGTTCCAGTTTTGATGCGTAGCCTGCCTCTCCCACCACCGAAACCAGCTGAGAGCTTGGTCTTCCATTGCGAGCACCGCTACATCAATTTTTTCCTCTTCTTCCGTGTTATTCAATCGGAAGTAGCGATTTATCCTCATCAACCAACCGCTAGCATCGCTTCCATTGAAGATAGGCAACTCAATCTTCCTTCCTGTGTGGTGTTGATGTGGATGACTCCGGTGAGGTCCGAGACCCTGGGGAGAGCCGGTAGGGTTCGACTGATTATCTGAACCTCCTGAGCTATCATCATCCCTCGCATGTCTACGATGATGTGATCGATGCGAGTCACTGGATCGATGCGAGTGACTGGATCTACGCGATCTATGTAAAATCTGGTTCTGCAATTCCGCGATGTTTGCTTGTAACGAGGCCTGCATCGCCGCCATGTTATTCTGTAATTCACGCATACTCCTATCCATATGTGTTTGCAATTCTCTCCGATTCCGTCCAAAATCCGCCATATCTCACTCAACTTCGTTCAATCTACCTTCCATCTTTGCGCGCGTAATTCTCATCCAGCGATCGATGCTGCTCTGATACCAATTGATAGACATCCCCAAAAATCCAGAGCAATTACAGAAACATTAAGAAGAACAGATGAACATTTTTATTGAATCAATATGAACCGTACAGAAATCTCAGGCCGAAGCCTCCTAAATAAGCTGAAGCTTCCCAAAGATAGAGACAGCCAGTCTCAAATCTTCCCAAGTCCCGAGTCCAAATCTAAAAACCGCCTCCCCCACTTCCCTTGCTATCTACTTATTTATACTAGACTCAAACACTTCTTATTATTAATACTTCTAATAAGCCCGGTCCGTTACTATTATTATTAGTCTACTATTAGGCCCAGGTTCCTATTACGCTTATCCTCTCTTTGTTCAATTTGATTTTTTCCCACTTGATTATTTTCATAAATGCAGCTATTACTTTTACTGAAGTGATTGTTATTAACATGATTATGTTTCTTTCAGTGTATTTATTTCGGAAAATTAATCGAAGTCTTTTTGTCGTGCAGGAGGTTGTTGATCGAAGATGCGAAATCAACTTTTAGTTCAAAAGCTCCTGCATCATTTCAATGAATTACAATTTACAATACTAAGGTATGTCCGATCCTAAAATCATTGTTCAAATACAACAAATATAACTTGGTGGATTATCAAATTAAAACCAGCCATCAGACATAGAAATAGCGCCTAGCTAGTTGAAGAGAATCTTATTCAACATCAATGTGATCCCATCCAACACTCTTATAGAAAGTGCTTCAGCCTCCTTAGGGAGATTTTCTCCGGGCTTGTGAATAGCTCCCCCGGCTAGAAACAATCCTTCGTTATCTCTGGCAACCCATCCAAGTCCAATAGCACCAGATCTGCGATGGACAGCTTCGTCAACATTGACCTTATTTCAACCTGCCTCATGTCTGACCCAAAACGAGGCCACTGGAGCTACCTGTTTAGCCGTTGAACTCCCCACCTGGGCTCGTCGCCAAGCTTCCAGAGAGGAGTTTCAACAGCTGCAATTCTCACCACAGAAACAGCTATGTTGTTCCACAATTTCTCGTTTCTGCTTCTCCAAATACTCCAGAGATACACGACAAAGCTGCCGCCAAAATTCTCATCCCCGCATCTAAAAATCCTTCTGTCCAGGTCACAAAAGACTGCCCTGCAACTTGTAAGTTCCAATTTAAAGTTCACCATAGTTGTTGAGTCACTGAACACTCCATAAAGAGGTGTTCATCACTTTCATTTTCAACTGTAAACATAACACAAATCGGTGAACAGTTAACTCTTTATTCTCAGTTTATCCGCAGTCGGAAGGCAACCAGAACACAGCTGCCTAAAAAAGGCTTTCACTTTTGGAGGTCAATGTAATCTCCACATCTTTGTCCAAGCGAAATTCTGTACCACCGCTTCACTGTTAGTCTGAAAACGATAAGCACTCTTAACCGTATACTGCCCGTGCTCTTCCCAAGGCCAAATAAAACTATCTGGAATTTATCTCAAGCTCACCGCAATTCCACGAATCATCTATTTGTCTCATGAGTAAAAAATTCAGAAATAATATCTATTTCCCAGCCAGGAGACTCCAAACTTAATAAACCCTTTACTGTGATGTCTTCCAGTCCGTGCACCACCTCTGACTCCACTCTCATATTTTCTAAATTCGGTAGCCATGGATCTTTCTAACCCTTAATCAAACTCCCATCACCCACCCTCCAACGAAATCCCTTTTTAACCATCCCTTTAGCCTCCCAAAGACTTCTCCAAATAAAAGAAGGGTTGTGGCCAACTTTAGCCTCCAAAAAAGAATTTTTGGAGAAATATCTAACGCGAAAAACGGAAGCTTCTAAGCTGTTTCGATTTTGCATAAAATTCCACACTTGTTTCCCTATCATTGCCAGATTGAACTCCTTAAGCTTTCGGAAACCCATACCTCCCTTTGACTTTGGTGAAGACATTCCCGCCCACTCCTTCCACTTTATACCACGCCCGGATGAGCCAGTCCACCAAAATTTATTCATTAACCTTTCCAGCTCCGCATAAAGCTCTTGAGGAAATAAGAACACCAGCATAGCATAGCTGGGCATAGACAGCACCACGGCTTTTAGAAGGACCTCACGTCCAGCTCTTGAAAGAAACTTATGATTCCAACTATTAAGCCTTTCTTTAATAAAGGCCAAGACTTCCTTCTTACTCCTTCCCACAAGCGATGGCAGATTTAGTTTATGGTTTATTACCTGGAGACTGAACAAGCAGTAGAAAGACAATCACTTTCAATAAGATGAATAAAGGCTTGTTTATTAGCAACATGTGAAGTGCTTCATATGTTGCTAATATTTTTTTTGGAAACTTGATCCATAAGTCGTTGTGATATAACATCTATTTCCTGCTACAAAATTCCACACTACTACTCCAACTAAAGGGTAGGAGGGAGAAAACAACTTCATTACCGGGTGGACTATTGAAATGCAGCCTGCTACAACTTGTCTACCACTTCAATCCCTAAAGAGAATTTCTCCATTAACCTTATTTCCCCATGCTGCCATGTTAATGGCACAGGAAACATTAAATTTTATAAAAAAGAAATATATGAATGAAATACAAGGAACTAGCTACTCTAATATTTAGTGAAGGTTGCAGCATCAGTATTTGCATTTCAAGAGCCAGATATATGCACCTTGGTGTTTGTTTAAAAACACGTACGTGAAACACTATTTTTTTTCTATTATTCTTTTTATAAAACTTCAAGAGCTAGATGTATACTTTTTAAACTTTATTAAGGAAAACCCAACCATGTGCCTACAACAATTTTTTATATGTTAATAATAAAATAGAAATAGTGAGTTATATATGAATAAATCCATATGGCAGAAAAAAATGTGACATTTTATACCCAGCCACTATTTTTGAAAATTTTGTGACTATGATCATGGATACATTTGCAATGTAGTGAACATGATTTTTTACAACTAGATTAAGGGTCCAAGGGCCTTTTTTTACAAAAAAAAACTATCATTGATTTAACAAAGCTTTATCAAACAGCTTTTTTTGCTTGTGTTGTGCAATAGTATTTCGTATATGTACAACAATATATGGACACTTTTTGTATATATGCACATAAACACTACCACAAGCATAGGTATGAACCCTCCATAAATTTAGATCTTTTCTCATGCATGTGGAAAGTTCTGCAGAAAATTATCTGGAAAAAATCTTTTTATTGACCTGTCTTATTTACCACCCTGCATCTTTACTAAATGCCGGTGTAGCTAATGGGGCAATGTCTTGCTCGGATTCAGCCCCAAGTTTGATAAAAATGTTTTACTTTATTTGTAGATAAAATAACTTTTTCAAAAAAAATACCATGGGAATGCATTACTTTATTTGGTCCTTCCAACATGATTATCCCCATCTTACTGTACGATGATTATTGAAATATTGTTTCAATCTTTGATTTTCCTCATCTTACTTAGCAGCGTTATAAGTTTGGGACATGTATTTTTTTTTTTGCTTTTCTAAATTCTCCGATTTCGTTGAAGATTATATAGTTGGGTTGAAATGTTGTTTACAGTTTCTAAGAGTATGATATGATTGTGAAGTGAAATTAACGATCTTGGTTCTATTTATATATGCCAAGGTAGTGTGGCAGGCACAATTTCACTTAGTTTTAATCCTAAAATATTTAGGAATTTTTTGCCACTTCAGACTTGTGTTGATTATTTGGCGATTTTGTCTATTATTGGTTGTTGGCTGCTGATATTTGATGCTTTAAATTTCACTTATCTTTCACAAATTGCTCGAGGCTAATAACTCAATTGATATAGTAATGCGGGCATGTGGCATATTACATGAAGGTGCACATAGCTTAAATTTGCATTTCATTACAAGATCAATATGCGTGACTTACTACTGCCTATTCACACGTAATTTTTTCAACAAAATACTACATGCAGCTTTCTAACTTGGAAAATTAACACCCATTTTCTTGCTTATTTGAGATCCTATGTAATCCCATAGAGATCCTATGTCGTAGCTTGCTTAGAGTATATTCTCCGCTTTGAGACGTTTGTGTTCTTCCCTCTCAGGATGGAGAAGAATAAGAAGACTGCTTCATCTGAGAAAACTGGTACCTTCACCGACAAATATGTAATTGATCCAAAGCAGCCCCAGCCCCAGCCCCAGCCCCAGTCCCAGGTTATGATGAATAGTAAGATGATGGTAAAAGGAAGGTCGATGTTGACATCAACATAGTTCTCACTTCTTGAAGAGGTTGAAGAGATGAGTAGGGAGGAGGAAGCAGTGAACCAGAAAACAGAGGGTAGAATAAATGAAGAACATAAAGAGATGAGTGCACAGAAGGTGTCTGAGAAAGAGGTACGTGAGTGCACAGAGGTCTTCGGCTGAGATACATATCAACAGAGGAAGATTTTCCTGAGTATGAGGGCTATTCATCTTCACACAGAAACCTGGGGAATTAGATGTAAATTGGTAACACATGAACGAGGTTTGGTTGTCTTTCGGATAAAAAACAAATGAAGAAGATTGAACAAAAGTACTTATGGAGGGGCCTAATGTTGTCACGGGGAGAGCACTAATGTTAAAAAATATGCAGGCACGGTTTAGTTATGATGATGAGGAGTTCTTGAGAGTACCCATGTGGACTATACTGCCTCAAACTACCTATGGATTGTTGGAAGGAGGAGATATTAGGAAGATCGCTTCAAGAGTTGGCTTGCCTATATTCAATCACGGTATTACTAGTGAGTAGTGACAACTGACAAGATGAGATTGGATTATGCTAGAATATTGGTGGGAGTTGATGCTTCTAAGCCTCACACTTTGTTTGTCGATATCAAGCTTCCCTCTAGGCAGAATAGAAGACAATTCATCATCTATGAGACCTTCCCTAATTACCGTTTTCACTATAAAAAGCATGGACATGATGCTTTTACGTGTAAGCCCCTCCACCAGCTAGAAAGAAAAAAAAAACAATTGGGGAAGGATCATATAGTTTACTACACCACAGATTCAATTGGGGAGATCTTAACTCTGGTAGACACTGAGCTGTGGGAGAACAAGGCTGATGATATTGTAAAGGATGATGCGGTACTAGAACCCAGTAAATATCGAAGGAGCTAACATCTTACCTAATCCTTGTGAGGAAGTTTCTGCTATAAAAAGGGAAAAAGAGAAGGTTGCTCGGGAAGAGAAACGGGAAAAGGAAACACTATTTATAGCATTTTTCATTGAAGCATCTAACCACACACTTTGTAGATATTCTGGCTTTGTAGTTTTGGCACTTATCCTCGGAGGATTTAGTTTTCCAAATATTGGGGACACCCTACTATGTGTGAACATATCTAAAACAAGTGTTCCAAATATGATGAACTTGTTCCTCACGATTTCAATCACTAGATGATGACTCCACTCAAAACTAAATTGCTGGATTAATTCGAAACTTGTTCCTCACGATTTCCATTAAGAGTCTCAGGGAATAAGAGATAAAAATTTCTCCAAGTAATAGTGCATATTTCATGATGGATATAATGAGTGTACTATTACAAACTTTTAATATTTTAAATATTCTGCACTACATTTGATGTATTAGAAATTAAATTAGAATCCGGAATATTTTGGGGTAAAAGTATCCACAATATTTTATAAATGCATTTAGTATAACAATTGTCACATATCATACAAGTATTTCATTTTGCAAAAATATTTCAATATGCATCTTACGTTAAAAAAACAAAATACAAAAAAACATGTCCCGCGCAGCGTACACGTGAAATACTAGTTTAAATGAAATTTCGCCATGTTTCAGACATGGGTGAATTAGGGTTGGCCACTTGGCCTGTGTCGGGTCGACCCGATCTGCCCGGCCACCCCGATTCAGGCCCAAATATTTTTTTTTTGAAAAATTTTATGGTTGGGCTTAAGGATGGACTGCGCCCAAGTTGACCGGCCAGGCCCGGCCCGTTACTGTATTTTCTTTCCTTGTGTTGGGGTGGTAGGCTTGTTGGGTGGGGTGTTTTGGCCGGGTTTGGAGGGTTGGGGTAGGAATTAATTAGAAAAGCAAAAAAAATTATATGATGATATTCATGATTGTAATAAGACCACACAAGCTGGAGAAAATATGTATACCATCTGGGCTTGGACCAAACCGGGTCTGGGTCCAGGCCGGGCCTAGGCCCAGTCAGGCCTTTTGTATTTGGGAGAAGGCCCGAGACTGGCCCGGGTTGCCACCGGGCCCGGTTCGGGTTGGGCCGTGTCTCGCTCCGGGCCGTGTTGTAATATTTTTTTTTTCTTTCCAAACTACCCACTGACCCCCCCCCCCTCCGCCCTGCACCCCTCCTGACCCCCCCCCCCCAAAAAAAAACATTAAGCCCTACCCGGGAAGCCCAATAAAACTGGAAAAACAAAAAAACAAAACAGTTGTGGGCCCAAGCCGGGCCTGGCCTTGCCGGGGTCCCCATTTCAGCAGCCCGAGCCCGCCCCGCTTTACCTTTCAAATCGGGTTAAGGACGGGTTTCGGACCCGAGGCACCGGGCTGGTCCAGTCCGGTCCCGCACAGTAGGTTCCATGCCTAATACCAACTTAATTTGAAATTCTAGAGCAATTTGATCCACATTGACATAATTTCAAATACTGATGCAGAATTCAGTTGCAATTGAAAAGAAAAATCAATAAATCATGACTGTTCGTTCCCTTTCCCTGGCCTGCCATCCTCAGAGATTGAAGAAAATGCAACTTGCAGCAAATTGTAGTGGTGGGAATGTGAGCTAGCAATTATAATGAGTTTTAAATGAAAGTGTAAGATGGAAAACAATATGATCACCAGCTTAGTATTATATGAAAGAATTTACACAACAGCATGGTCTGAACAAATGCCTTATCGAAAACGTACTCAAGTAACTAGCATATTAACACGACAGTATGATTGATTACAAATCAAATAGAAAGACTAGATCATGTTATCAGACTATATACTTCTGGATGACTGAAACTTGACTGCTTCCGGCCTGGACAATAATATGATCACCAGCTTAGTATTAATGCATAAACAAGGAATTTGAAAAAGTATCAATTAAAGACCTAAAATCTAGCTGACCTAGGAGGAATAGGAATGCAGTGCAAAAGGCCTGGGAGCATCTTCTGCTCTAGTTGAGTGAAAGAAAGACTGCCATAACTGCAATAAAGACTATAAATCATCACCGGTGCATCTAATTGGGGAAAGAAAATCAAATGAGTGGAAATTACCTAAAACTAGCCAAATAAGAAGGAGTGTACAAATTGAAGTTAAGAATTTTGATCTTGGAGCGTCTTCTTCTTCTGACAACTCTTCTGCATGGGGTCCTCCCGAACTTGAAACTTGGGAACTTGAATCTTCGGGACTTGAATCTATTGAAGAAACGCTTAAGTAGAGAAAGGGAAAAAGAATAAGAATAAATAACAAAATAACAATATACCTGAATTTTCTGACTCGGTTTCTTCCTGTCCGCCCTCGGGATAAGCAATTGCCCGCATCTTCTGAAGGCCGGGGTAAAACTTGGCTGACCTCTTCCTTCTCCTGAAACTTCTGTCGTTTCCGGCGGCGGCCGCCTCCGCCCCATCACTCAGAGTGAGCTTCTGGAAAGAGTTGCGTGTAGTAACTCTCCCCTTTGCCTTGGGGTAGAACTGAACATCCATATTGGTGGACGCGAATGGGGGGCGGAAGTGGACGATGAAATCAGTTGGAAATCACGTTTAAATAGTTCCATTTTGCTCCTCCGAGAACAACCGGAATCGTTCAAGAACGCTGAAATCAGTTGGAAATCCGTTGTGAGTTGAAGAAGTGAACGATGAAATCCAGTTGAAGAAGTGACCGACCCGGATTGCTCATATACTCGTATTTCGTTTGGGATAGAATTCCCCCAGTGGGCTGAACTGTTGGGCCACACCTAATTTTTCTCATTTATATGTTTCTCATCCCAAATGCAAATGTAAAATATAGGATGTTTTTACTAATTTGTCCCATACCACATCAGACCAGATCATATTAGATCAGAACATACCAGACTTGCGTAGTTATAAGAATACAAAAAAACCAGACCAGACCAGTTCAGATCAGATCAGGCCAGCAAATTACAGTCTAAGTAAAAACATCCATAGTGTCCCCATCTCAAATAAAATTGTCATCTCATAATTTTGATTTATATAATATTACGATAGTTATAAATTTTAGACGTTTATGAAACTACTTTTAGCAAAGAACATTTTTATATCATAAATAATTTCCAATAACAAAATATAGTTGACCAAAGTTTTAAAAATGACAGGTTTTTTAGACGGAGCTAGTATATATTTAGGATATGTAGAGTCGGTTTGGTAACTCTCGTTCTTGACTTTTCTCGCAAATACATACCAGTAACCTATGATTTTGATCGTTGAATTATGTATTAATAAAACTAAGTGATGCTAGAGTTACTACTATGGCCGAATTGGCTGAAATAATTCATCGTAAAGAACGATTTTATATACTCTTATTTTGTTTTCTTTATTTTATTACTAAAAATATTTTATATGCATAATTTTCCCGTGATTAAGTAAATTCAGCTCAATCAGACACTCCAACTAGAGCTTCGACAATTTAAGTCGATTCAGCGTGTTCACCCTTTTTTGAAGTATTGACATGTGTTTTTATTAAAATCTCACATCATTATATTACATCATTATCATCTTATCTTAGGAATAATGTATTTGTGCACTCCCTAATTACCCTAATATTCGGATTTGCTTTGTGACGCAATACTACTACAATGTATTCTATAAATATATACTACCTCCGTCCCGTTGGAAGGTTCCCGTTGCAAAACGGCACGGTTATTTAGGTGATAATTAAATAAAGTATTCGGGGTATATTTTTGAGAAATAATTTTAATAGGTGTTTGTTATAATGTGTTAGTATTGATAAATGTGATGTTATAAATGTATTGTTTTTGAAATTTTAGGACTAATTTTTCAATTAAGATTGTTAATTGTTTCCTAAAATGGAAATGAGAACCTTCTAATGGGATGTCTCAAAAAAGAAAGTGTGAACCTTCTATCGGGACGGAGGGAGTATGTTTTAATTATAACTAATGTTGTTGTTTTGTTGTTGTTGTTGTTGTTTTTATTATTATTATTAATGCTCTGGTCTATTACGGTCTGGTCCGATAAATGTCTGGTCTATGTGTAATTTATAATTACGGAAGTCAAGTCTGATCGGGTATGTTCTCTTTTAAATCTGGTCTGGACTGTTTAAGTTTGCTATGGTCTATTGGATTCTCGTCTAGTCTAATTTGGGACCGAAAATAGTCCAAGTAAAAACATCCTAAGATGTCTGGCTTAACGGAACCCCAAACCGGGCGGTCCCGATCCCGATTCTACTCCCAACGACCATTTTTTTTTTAATTGAAGGGGTGGGCAGGGAGGTCCTGGGAACACATCAGATTGTTTTATTGCCTGGGAAGCAAGGATTAACACTACTTTCTCCATACTTTCTCAAGTACAAACTATTATGATACAAGTGCTTTACTTCATTCTGTGTGGATCCAATAAGGTCCCGGGAACACATCACAATCTTTTATTGCGCGCCTGGGAACCAATGATTAACACTACTTTCTCCATACTTTCTCAAGTACAAACTATTATGATACCAGTGCCTTACTTCATTCTGTCTGGATTCAACTTTCTCCTCGTCAAACCAACTAGCTAGTTTAAATCACTTACTATTCTTGTATAAACTTACCAACAAAAATTACTTTGTTTCAGATATTTATCTAATTTTATAATTGCTAAGAGCCCGTTTGGTAGCACGAAAATCGGTTTTTTTGGCTGATTCTGCTGGAATTTATGAAGTTCAAGCTGAAGTGGCTGTATTGGTTGTGTCTGCTTATTTAAGTAAAAATTATTTTTAAAATATATTTTATTAATAAAATAAAGAAAAAATTATATGTAAAAATAGCTAAAATGGTCATCTACAGTAACTTGAGCCAATACAGCCAGAAAAGTAACTACAGCCTTACTTTTTCTACTTATTACACAATTCAGTGCGCGAAAGTAAAAGTTACGTGTTTGGTGAAAAAGTCGGCTGATAAGCCGAAAAATGATTTTGCCAAACGGCTTCTAAATTTGACTGTTAGTGATCCCGAGTAATCATTATGAGAACGTTTAAAACTATTGTTCCTCGCCCGTATCCGTGAGGTCAAAGCAGTTTTCCTCATTTTAACCAATTAGAAGAAGCAAAAAGGACTGGCATGGTTATCTCCTTTGTTGCATCTGCGACCTTGCCGTGAACCACAACGATCAGGTCGTTGGGACCGTGGAACTCTTCTTAGAAGCGTGCCAAGAGAAAGAACCAGACACTACTTTGTTCCATTTCAAAACCCCATTATATTTTCTAAATCTTCTTAATAGTGACTTTTTTACAGAAGTAAATAATATACTTCATAGGTAGTAATTTAGAATAAAAGAACAAAATCAAACGAAAAATGATTATAAGTTCAAAGATTTCTGCATTTACTCAATCTCACAGAAATGCTCTACTCCCTCCGTCCCCTTTTAAATGTCTTATTTTACCATATTGGGATGTCCCTATTTAATTGTCTCATACCTTATTTGGTAAAGTTTGTGTGTCTCAAAACCATTCTTACTTTATTCTTACTTTATCAATTAATATCAACCACACAAATCTACTTTCTCAAAAATCGTGTCACCCTCTTCCGGGACATTTAAAAGGGAGTACTTGTTGGAACTTATTGTTTTGTTGATGACAAACAACTAGTGTTACTTTTGGTTATAAGTGACTGTAGGAAAATAGTTTAAGTTGTGCTCTGGAACAAGCCATATAACTGGTCCAAGAACTGCACCGTGAATTCAAGATTGATTAATCTGGCTTGCTTAAAATATCTTTTCTCTTCATTTAATTTCGGATCTATCTTGCTAAATTAAAGAGAACCTTTTAAGCAAGGAAATAATAATTGATCATACAAAGAAAGGATTTTTTCTTTAAAGGAAGATTATTTGAAAAGAACCCAAAGCTATCAAAAGCACCATCATCTTCCATATCCATTTTCCTCTCATCTCCTATTTATTCTCCGTATATTAGTCAGGTATGAAATGGTAACAATTCACCATCTCCCTGATTTGCTTGTTTTACTCCAGTTTCCTTTTTTGGTAAACAGTTACTCTAGCTTCCTTTCCCCTCTATGAATTGCTTGTGGGTCCATTACACTCGATTTTGAATGATAATATTTTAGCGTCCAGATCGGAAGGGGCTTTCCTGATGGATACCGATTGAAATTTAAAAATATAAAATGTTTGCTTGCAAAGTTAAGGTGTTCTATTTAGATCATAAACAACTTCCAATAACAAAACATAGTCGACCAAAGTTTAAAAAAAGACAGGTATTTTAGACAGAGGTAGTGTATATATACATGATATATGGAGTCGTTTTGGTAAGACTTTTCTCGCAAATACATACTAGTAACTTATGATTTCGATCTTTGAATTATGTATTAATAAAAACAAGTGATGCTAGAGTTACTATTCTGGATGAATTGGCTAAAATTATCGTAAAGAACGTTATTATATACAAAATGTGGGCACAAGCATTCTTGGTGTATACAAAATGTATACATATTTTGTTCACTCGTCTATGCACATAGACAATTGCAATGTTTTTTCTAAATGAGTTAGCCTGCGTGCACATGCAACTAAAGGGTGTATACACATTTGAGATGTCAAATGTGTTTTTAGTTGTAATGATGTTGTAACCTTGAGGTACCCTGTTTAAATTCATTTATATAGATGAAGTGATTTAATCATTTATTTTAATACGTAATAGAGGTGAGAAAGAAAGTTTAAACACAAGATCCTGAAATATACTTTTCTCTTCCCTTTTAAGCTTAGAATATTTCAATTCTACGCACACAAGTTCAGCCATTTATGACTAATGTATAATTGCTCTTCTCATCCGTTACCTCCGTTTCAATTCTCCGCTCATCTCCTGCACTGCATACTTCTCGCTCCACTCCGCCGCACTTACTTACAAGTTTAGATGCAAGGTAATTTCGCACCTCTCCTATTTACGACCTTCTGTTTCTCTTCTTCTCACCATGAATATCTCATGCCATTTCTGTGTATGTCTTCTCAATCAACTTCTCACCTTTGGAAGATGCAAACACACTCTCCGTGCGAATCGATCACGTCCCACAACGAACAAAAATCTCAGGGAGTGCCCAGAAGCCTCACTCAGGCGAAATCACCCTCGCCTTTGAGTGAGCTGAGAAGCTCCGCCACTATCTTTAAGTGAACCGTTGCTGGAATTTAAGACCTCGAGAAGCTTCGCCTGCCTCTCTCTTAGCCGAAAGCAACCCCCTTTCGAAGAAGTCAAGACCGCGCCTCACATTTGTTGAGGCGTTTCTAGATTTGTAGCAGAAAAGCAAGGTACTCACAATAGAAGTGGATGGTTATCTAAATTCCTAAAAACTATGCTTTCGTTCTTATATACATGCAATTAGAAGTTACCTAATCCTAAAACAATGCTGAATATTGAACCGAGAAAAACACTGCTAATATTGACCCTAGACATGAAAAATGTGTTTGTTTGCCTTTTCTGTTTGAAAAATGACGACTTCCTGTTCTCTTGTTTTAAATGCTAAAACAATGCTGAATATTGAGCCAAGAAAAACAGTGTTATTTGAGAAACTCCCCAGCTTTCATAGACATCATATGTAGGGTTGGAAGCTTTAGGCATCCTTCAAAACCCAAAAGATGATTTAGGCTCAACCTGTGTAGCCCTTTGCCATCAGCAAATATATGCCTAACATGAGCTATGCCACTATCTTTAAGTCAAGTGTCAGGTTTTCAACTCAATTTTAGATCAGGAAACAAGTTTCGGGTTCTCCTTTTGAGATTGAGGAGTTGTTTGTGCCTGAAAAAGGGCAAGGAACCGGGAAGGGAGAGGAGTGGTTCTCAACAAGTTTTGGTCAGTGGCTCGATATATTAGGGATAATGTTGTGATTAACTGACTGCTGTGGTTCTTAATCAGGGAGCTTTGTTTAAGTGATGTTTGACTGGATTGTGGCATTTTTATGTTGAAATTTTAGGATTGTCTTTTACTTGGGTGGTTGCAACTGATTTCTTTGAAATATTCAACTGGAATCATCTGTTAGGAAAAGTCTATGGGTCTACACAAGAATATTCTGCAATTCTAGAGCAAATTTTAGGTAGGGCTGATTTTGGGGGTTGATTTTGTCGCTTTATAGAAAGGTTAGGCTGATCTCCTACACAGTTTAATCAAACATCAGTTGCTTTTGATTTTATCGTTTTTTCCTGCTGCAACTGATCTTGAGAAAAGGTTTTTTGTTGGCTCTTCCGCTGGGAATATTTGAAAAGATTTCATTTGAGAAAAGCTTCCTCACGTCTACTATTTCATTAAATCATGTGATTATTTTCTAATCTAATAATGAATTTGTAACTATTTCAATTCGATTGACTTTGCAGAACAAATGCTGCAGCTCTTATTCTATGTTTTCAATCTTTTTTCCAGGAAAGTAAGAGAAGAAGATGTACACTTATTTAATGATCGAGTTATGGGATATTTTAATCACATGTACTTTTCTATCTTATGCTCGGGAAAACAGGAGAAGAAAAATGCAGACTTCTTATGCTCAGAAAAACTTTCCAAGATTCAGATTGGTTTAGATTGGTTTGAATTGTAAACAAGACGTCTACAATTTCATCAAATCAGGTGATTATTTTCTAATCTAATAATGAATTTCTTACCATTACATTGGATAAAGTACCCTTTTTAGATTGGATAAAGTACCTTTTTTATTTGATGCCATTAAATAATTTAATGGCATTAAAATCCATATTTGTATGTCATAATTTAAGTAAATAATTTGTTATGTGTATGGGAAGATACTCAGCTTAGTCCTCATCAGTTTTCCATTTATTCTCCACTCATTCAGTATTTAATCTCTATAACATATTTTCCAGTCTTTAATTTTAGTTTACTCAACAGGGTACATTTTTTCCATTCATATTTTATAATATCTGGAGTTTGGATCGAATTATCTGAAGGATGAGTTTCCTGGCCATCAATCCATTTTTTCTGCAAACTTACTTTTATTTATACTACTTTTATATTAGCATTACTAATTTTTACTATTTCACATTGGTCAAATTTGTTACTAATTCACATTAGCTTGTGTGTTTCTCATCTACTTAAAGATAATAATGAAAACAACAGGATAATGAACAACTCTACCTGATTTTTTTCGAATTCTGAATTTTTAAGTAGGCTTTCACTTCACTTCTCAAAACTGTTACTACTAGAAAGTGTTGGCTTGCACTTACAAATTATCACTTGGGCATGTTGGGTGAGAATCTGGACACAAGAAACATACATATTTTGTTTTTATGATGATTAGTATTGGTATTATGATTAGAGCGTGTCGCAGCTTTCTAATTTAGGTTGGTTTATTTGGATGGTCATATCATATGCATCCATTTTATTTATGCCAATAAAACTAAATCCCTTTTTTAAGGAAACAAACGTTTCTGCCTTAAATTGTGCTTTTTTGAAGATGCTATAATGACATTTATCAAAAGGTGTGTTCTTCGGTACCTTGACAAAATCAGAGGTACTGTACCTATCCATTAAGATTAAGACACGTGTACTCTTGTTTAGAGCAAGGATCAATATATTAATGCCTTCGTTTCTCCCCTAATTTGCTAACTTACCCCTAAATTATTTGACATCTAATCTGTATCCGTTCTACGTTAAGCCTCCGTTACGCTACCGTCAAACTATCTTATTCATCGCTCAACAACTGTGTTGTTTCTCAATCATTCTTCTCTATCGAGTGCAAAGGAAGCTTGTCTGCAAGAGTGCAAGACCCACCCGTCGAGCAGGGACAGAGACTCAGCGATGCATCCCCCGGTGGGTGTGCTCCTCTCCCTGTGGATGAGGGGGAAGTGTTAGGCCAATCGACCATCAAGTGCTAAAGGAAAAGACGGTAGCGGGTGGGTGAAGAACAGAGCCCCTGTCTGAAGCATAACCAGAGGAGTGGATTTCGAAAGAGTGGGACAAACGCAACGAAATTCAGTGAATACTGATTACACCTCCATGGAAGTTGCCAGATCAGCCATTACGGGAGTAAATGATCAGAATGACCTTCAATGGGGCTGGGATGATGATGACACAGGCGAGGGCATGGATATTCAAGCACTTCCAGGGCTTGAACTCATAGCCATTATCCTTGTCATTGCTACTAGGCAAGTTTTTTTTTATTATGGTAGGTGTCTGGACTATTTGGTTGACTAACCCTCAAGTAGCCCTTCCAGGGCTCGAACTCATGACCTCAAAAACTTTCTAATCCTGGTATGCTTCATAAAATCATTTGAGCCCAACGTACAGGTTACACGGGTATGCTTCATAAAATTATAGGATGTAGCATGATAGATGCCACTTTTTGTCTAGCAAAAATACTTCTCTCGCAGAAGATAGTTTTGTTAGAAATTTAAAATGTGACTAACTAGTATGTTTACCCGTGCCGTGCACGGGTTAGAACGATTTTGCTTTGAGTTTTACTAATGGAAAGTCACTTGTTTAGTCGATAATAACTTTGGTTTATATTACATATTCTAATTTATTGAGTATGCCATATTTTTGAACTAATTATCTAAATGTGTTTGCAATCGATATTTTCTAATGAAAACGCATTTTTATAACTCTCAGTTGCATCCAAATGAAATTAATCTTTTTAACTATAGTTATCTAAAAAAAGAAAATGTTCAATGCATGTTTTTTATTTAAATTTCATTCGTGTAGTTAATTTGTTTTAAAGATATTAGCCCTTATAGGTTTTAGAATTTTGCAAATTAGTCATTCAATCTTTTTCTTCAAGAGAAGTTTTTAGAATATACTATGTATAATTTTGTGACATTTCTATTTTAATCAAGGCGATATCGACGACAATAGGCTGCATATTGTGATTAGTAGCATTCAATTTATTTTTCATTAGATTGAGTTATTGAGGATAATATGATTTTATTAAGTAAAATAAATTTTATCGAACTTATAGTATGGTCCAATGATAATTTATGGAAATTTGAGTTTTCAAATATATGATGACATTATGAATGTTGTATGTGTGTGGTTAAAAATAGGAAAATGAGTATCATGGGCTATGCAATTCTATCATAGCTCAACAATCTCATTAAGATGTTGGTGGCTTGGAGTTATTAAACATATCTTACTTTTACCTTGAGTCATTTGATACATTGAATTATAGAGTTAAATGACCTCAATGCATAAATTCCTACGTGAATAAACTTCTTTTTTTTTAACCCGGAAGGCAAACCACCAAAATCAGTGAATAAAATTCGTATTCATGATTTTGAAATGCCTTTTAGATTTGTTTTCTCAATTAGATCTTAATCAAGGAATTAGTTTTTGAGGTTATTTGTATAATTTATGTAGTCCCTTTTTGTATTTTAGTACCAAATTATGTGTCACCATATCAAATTTGGTGACAAATGAAAATTTACACATGAATATTTTTAATATATGAATGATTAACTTCATAATAAGTTAATTTGGTTTTGTATGCATGCCTCACTTCCGCTTGTATTGCAATTAACTCCATAATAAACTAATTAACTCGGAATTTTACTCATGAGATTTGTTGAATTCTAATCTAACACGGAGTTCTAAATTAAATTTTATTGAGGACTTCATAGAAATGTTTTTAATGGACTGTTTTTTGTCTGATTTTCTATTGTGATCTAATATGATTTGATATGATCAGGTCAGGTCAATTTATCTGAGCATTTCATCTCTTTTTGTTAAACAGATTTACCTCATTCAAGTAATTATAGTTTAGATATATGCAACATATCAAAATTCGGCTCTAGACAATATTTTCTAGTTCAGACAATATCTCTTAAAAGTTCAGACATTAGCCTCCACTTACGACTCGAAATGCCAAACATAGCCCTAATCTAGCAATTAGCCCGTTTGGCAACCCTTGTTTTCAGCTTATCAACAACGTTTTTACCAAACACGTAGTTGTGACTGATCGACTGAAGTTACTGTTTAGCAACATTAATATAGCTATTAAATTTATTTTGCATGCAATAGTTTACCCTAGGCCCCCCAAACCCCCTCCCCCCGACGCCCCCTGGGGTTAAAAAACCAGTCTCTTTAGATTTTTTGTGCTTTCCAAAAAAAGTTCTTTTTAACAAATAAACATAAATATTGTGTTTTTAATTTTGTTCACATCATTTGACGGCACGGATAGAATTTTTAATATTATTATATTTTGAAATCAAAGAAATACTCCATATTAAAAATAAGATTTTAAAATTTTCAATACTTGTTTTACATTTGGAATACATGTACCTTAAGTATATCAAGACATTAGAATGCATAAAATCTTTTGGGAGATTTATTCAATCTGATATGGATTTCTAAATTTTAGGGAGGACTCCTTTAAAAATGTTTTTAATTGAAAACTAAAATTTTCTAGTTTGATATGATTCGATCTGATATAACATGGTCTTGTATGATAAATGTCTCATCTATGGACATTGAGAAAATTGTACATAAATAACGTATAGAACTATGAATTCTTATCGAATGCACCAAAATTTCTATTCATAATTGTATTTTTAAAGTTTTTATTAAATATTAATAAAATTTGCTATTAATATTCATTAAATGAGGCTTAGTATTTAATTATGGTGACAACTCCGGTACCTTTCTAAAAACAGGGGTACCGTACCTAGCATTCATTTGATTGGACCACATCATTTTATCAATTTTAATTTAGATTTAAATAATTGAATTACTACCTTTTCATTGGTCCATGTGGACAAAGGTATGGTACCTTATGGGTACCATAGAAACTACCAAAAATTATACTCTGTAGCACTTGAAAAAACATATGTTTTTAAAGTGGTAAACTATTTTTTATCTTTATATATTCAATATTGGTGTCATATGAAAGATAATAAAAAGTAATGATTTGTGATATACTCCGTATATTTTGTAACAATCGGAATACAAATAAAAAAGTTATATCACTTTAAGAAACATATGTTTTTAAAGTGTTACAAATATTTTTTATCTTTATATATTCAATATTAGTGTCATATGAAAGATAATAAAAAGTTATGATTTGTGATATATTTTTTGCAACAATTGAAATACAAATAAAGAAGTTATATCACTTTAAGAAACAAATGTTTTTAAAGTGTTAAATTATTTTTTTAATTTTTTGTATTCAATATTGGTGTCATTTGAAAGATAATAAAAAGTTATGAATATTGATATATTTTTTGTAATAATCAGATTACAAATAAAAAAGTTATGACACTTTAAAAAACATGGAATTTTATTTTGGTGGATCCCTAAATAATAGGAGTTGTATTTTAGTTTGGAGTAGTACTTGGAGTAGTACTCGTATATGAATTACCGAAATATAGTGGTGCATAGTTATAGATTTCTTTTATTTGGAAAGTAATATTAAAACAAATAACTGTGGAATTGACATGTGTCAAAACTTTCTATAATCGTATCTTTCAATTGTATTATCTATAGATGTCTGAAACTTTGGAGCATAAATACACGTTCTGTGCATGACTTTCTCAAGCACAAATGAGAGCGCACGACTTCAAAGATGATTGGAAAACACATCCACACTCTGTAAACTCCCTTCAAGCAAACACACTTATGTTTTCCATCATATTATAGTAACTGCAAAGACATTCACACACCAGCAGAATCCTTTTATTTGCTCTGTCTTTCTGTTGTACATAATGTTATATTGGAGAAAATAGTTTATCTTTTTTTTTTTTACTTCAAAGTAAAGACTTTTATTCTAGCATTTACAAACACGTTAATGCAAAGCATATACACAATAGAAACATTGATAAATAACAATATATTACTTTTGGGGTTAAGAAACATTGATAAATAACAATATTTGCTAGTTTCATACATAACTGTGCACTTTGGGGTTAAGGCACCTATCCTCTCTTTTTTCAAATTGATTTTTCCCCACTTGATTTTTTTTTTTTAAATGCAGCTATGACTTTTACTGAAGTGATTGCTATTATTAAGATGTTGTTACTTTCAAACGTAACTGTGCACTTTAGGGTTAAGGCGCTTATCCTCTCTTTGTTCAATTTGATTTTTTCTTACTTGATTATTTTCATAAATGCAGCTATTACTTTTACTGAAGTGATTGTTATTAACATGATTATGTTTCTTTCAGTGTATTTATTTCGGAAAATTAATCGAAGTCTTTTTGTCGTGCAGGAGGTTGTTGATCGAAGATGCGAAATCAACTTTTAGTTCAAAAGCTCCTGCATCACTTCAATGAATTACAATTTACAATACTAAGGTATGTCCGATCCTAAAAGACTTAATTCTTTTTACATAATAGCAATACTATTGGAGTTTTGCTTTACCGCAAAGGCTCAACCCCTAAATCGCATAACTCACAATCTATGACTTATTTCACCTTATTTTTTTTCAATAACTCAGCGGTTCCGTCATTTTCGTGCTCTCTCAAATCAGTAATGGAAGTCTACATTCCAAAAACACTTGAGTTTTACTATGTGTTATTATGTTTTGGAAAAATTGATTCCCTAGAGAAAATAAAGAATTTGTTTGCATAGTACTCCTCCATTCTCATTGAATACTCAACAAGGAATCAGTCCTACTATGCTTTAGAAAATAAAGAATTTGTTTGCATAGTACTCCTCCATTCTCATTGAATACTCAACAAGGAATCAGTCCAATCTCTTGTAACTCAACGAGAATTTGTAACTCTGAGCTTCATTTTAGAATTTCTAAGAACGAGAATGTCCTTGGATATTTTTTCAATCAAAGTTCTTAATTGCGTAACTCTTGATTATTTTTTGTGATCGGATTTATGTGCAACTAATGTTCTTAAAAATGGTTACTCTAAGATAGATTTCTAATTCCGATTTAATATTTTTTTTTTCATTTATGATTAGAAATAGTTGACTTGGGAATATGGTTTAGAATAGGTTATTTACTTTACGGTTTTTTTTATAAAAGCGGAATCAACTATTATTAATAAAATCATTGTTCAAATACAACAAATATAACTTGGTGGATTATCAAATTAAAACCAGCCATCAGACATAGAAATAGCGCCTAGCTAGTTGCATCCCCCCCTCAAAGCTAGGGTGATTGAGAATTAAATTCAATCACACTAAGTTTGTTCTTGAGCTCCAGAAATCTTGAGGAAGATAGAGGCTTGGTCAAAACATCAGCCAGTTGGTTATGTGCTGGGATATGAAAGACTTCAAGCTGTTTCAGATGCACCTTTTCTCTTACAAAGAAGAGATCAATATCCAAATGTTTAATTCTGGAATGTAAAACTGGATTATTGATAGAAACCTCCAGAAACTCAGAACAGTTACAGAAAATCTATCAAGAAACAAAGTAATCTTTATTGAAGAAGATGAACAGTATCAGTACAAAGGCCGAAGCCCCCAAAGCCGAAGCCCCAAAAGATCGAGATGTTCAGTCTCGTATCCTTCCCAGTCCCAAGACCAAAATGTCTAAAAAGCCTCCTTATGCCTTCCTTCCCCTTTCTATTTATAGTATAAGGCTATAAGCCCTCTTATTATTCTCTATAATAATGGGCCCAAAATAACAGGCCCACTAAACAGTGTCTATTCTTCTAGTATTCCTATTAGAATTATTATTATTATTAATCTAATAGGTAGATCCCTAACAATACTCCCTCCCTAAACATCCAACTTGCCCTCAAGGTGGGTGGTAAGAGATAGCCAAGATCTTTTGCTTCATCCTCTTTCTTGCGCTTCTACCTTCCCAATATCTAACTGATTTCTGAGAAAAGAGCTTCTCTACTTGATTATTCCAATTCATAGATGTTACTGCAGCATATAATATCTCTGATGAATTTTCAGTTTCTTCATTAGTCTTCAGGCCTTCAATAGCCACAATTATCTCCTTATCTTCCTGAGGTGTACCACCTACACCATTAGCAGAACTTATGTACATGCCCTGAACCTCTTTGCCAGTGTGATGCAACGATAAAACCAAGCAACATTTAGTGTCTGAGGATTCAGAGTCAACTCCTTCAACACTATATTCAATGTCTGATCTGATCTTCTTCCGTGGTCCTTCAGTTTCTTCCATCTGCACCAAGCTAGACAACTCCATCTGATTTAAAGCAGTATTCCCTTTAATGATGCAATTCTTTTCTTGTTGTCTCCACTTTAAGATTTGCTCCTTAAAGTTAACCTCCATGTCTCCCAATCCAGTTAGCCAGTCCATTCCCAGCACTACATCAGTGCCTCCCAGCTCTAGCAGGTAGTAAGTCTGCTGAATATCTATGCCTTGAATCTTCATCTTTACCATATTACTTCTGCCCGCATTGGTAATGCATTTACCATTCCCAATTTGGACCTTATACCCCTGTATAGGTTGAAAAGGAATGTTGTATTCTTCCACTAATTTCTGTGATAAAAAATTGTGTGAAGCTCCAGTATCAATGAGGATATTCACCATCCTCTCTCCTCCAGGCCAGCTCATTTTGCCCTTAACCTTAAAAGTTTTTATAGAAGATATGCCCTCCTTACTCCAAATGGACAGCTGCATAGTTTTATGTTCCATGTGAGTAGCCTTATTCCCCTCAGAACTACCAGAGTCTTCCTCAGAATGTTCTTCACCTTCAGACTGTTCCACCAGAACCATTTTGAAGTTTTTCATCTTACATATATGTTCTCTTCCCCACTTATCACCACATTTGAAACAAAGCCCCTATTTGCTCCTCTCCATTAACTCTTCTTGAGATAATCTTGGGCCACTTTTCTTATTCTGTTCTCCTTCCTCTCTGTTGATGTTGAAATCCTCAGTCCTCTTGGATACCATCTCAAGATTGCCTTTGTAATTTTTCCAATTCCTGTCATCTCCCCAATTCTGAATTTTGTTCTGTGATTTCTTCCTCCCCTCTTCCTTGTTCCTTACAATCAAGGCTTCCAGATTCTTGTTGTCAATTAAAGTAGCTGTATCCATTACTGCTGCCAAGGACTTTGCAGAATATAGCTTCAATTCAGCTCGGACATCTCTCCTTAATCCCTTCATAAAAATCCCTCTCAGGACTTCTTCAGTGAGGTGTCCTTGAAAAGCTATGGCTGTTTCAAATTGATCTCTGTACTCTTGTACTGTCCCCTTCTGTTTTAAACTTAATAAAGGTCCTAACGGATCCTGCACCAAATCAGGTTGAAAACGCTTCGCCAGAGCTTTTGTGAAAGTCTTCCAGTTTTGTCGATGAGCTTGTCCCTCCCACCATTGGAACCAACTCAGCGATTGGTCTTCCATAGCCACCACCGCCACATCAATTTTGTCCTCCTCATCAGTACGGTTCAACCGGAAGTATCGGTTCATCCGCACCAGCCAACCGAACACGTCCTTTCCGTTAAAAATAGGTAGATCGATCTTCCTTCCAACCGGATGTTGCTTCCTGTGAATCCAGTGTGGATCGCGATGGCTGTTTGATTCAGAGTGTTCGGAATGATGATCTGAATCATCTGAGTGATAGCTGTTCTTCCTGTGTTGACGAGTGCTGTGATGCGAGGTAGTTGTTCGATGCGAAGTACTGGACCTATGCGATCGATGCGATTGGCTCCTCGATCGTTCCGATCGATTCACCTGCAACCTCGCGATGTCAGTTTGCATCGCTGCCAATCTCTCCAGCAAAGTGTTTTGCATTTCCTGCAAATGTCGTTCAGTCCTCGCTTCCATCTCTCTCTGATTCCGTTCAACGTCGTTAATTCTTCCCTCCATTTTTGCGCGCGTGTATCTCATCCAGCGATCGAACACTCTCTGATACCAATTGATAGAAACCTCCAGAAACTCAGAACAGTTACAGAAAATCTATCAAGAAACAAAGTAATCTTTATTGAAGAAGATGAACAGTATCAGTACAAAGGCCGAAGCCCCCAAAGCCGAAGCCCCAAAAGATCGAGATGTTCAGTCTCGTATTCTTCCCAGTCCCAAGACCAAAATGTCTAAAAAGCCTCCTTATTCCTTCCTTCCCCTTTCTATTTATAGTATAAGGCTATAAGCCCTCTTATTATTCTCTATAATAATGGGCCCAAAATAACAGGCCCACTAAACAGTGTCTATTCTTCTAGTATTCCTATTAGAATTATTATTATTATTATTAATCTAATAGGTAGATCCCTAACAATTATGAGCTAGCTGAACTGTGCTCTGATTATCACAATATATTTTGGGAATATTAAATGGAACTTGAAGTTCTAATTTAGGTATTATGATGATTAGTATTTGAGCCCAACGTACAGGTTACACGGGTATGCTTCATAAAATTATAGGATGTAGCATGATAGATGCCACTTTTTGTCTAGCAAAAATACTTCTCTGGCAGAAGATAGTTTTGTTAGAAATTTAAAATGTGATTAATGTCTGAAACTTTGGAGCATAAATACACATTCTGTGCATGACTTTCTCAAGCACAAATGAGAGCGCACGACTTCAAAGATATTGGAAAACATATCCACACTCTGTAAACTCCCTTCAAGCAAACACACTTATGTTTTCCATCATATTATAGTAACTGCAAAGATATTCACACACCAGCAGAATCCTTTTATTTGCTCTGTCTTTCTGTTGTACGTAATGTTATATTGGAGAAAATAGTTTATCTTTTTTTTTTTTTACTTCAAAGTAAAGACTTTTATTCTAGCATTTACAAACACGTTAATGCAAAGCATATAGACAATAGAAACATTGATAAATAACAATAGATTACTCGAAGAATAGAGAAATTTATTAAAAAAAAAAACGAAATTGGGAAAACTGAAATTTTAACTAATCGGGTCTAAGATATCCGTAGAGTAATCGCGAAATTGTAACTAGCTTAATTCAAAAAAGCTATGAAAGTAACTCTAATACTCTAATTTATCAATAGTAAAATCAAACATGTCATCGAGAGATCTTCAACACCGCTTCATGCAAAATGTTGAATTTATCCAAGACCAGATGTAATGCCATCATCTTAAGCCTTGTACCATCATCGACCTGTAAATTATAAAAAAAATCATCACATAGCAGATGGTGGTGTTTGGTGTTGCTCTGGGGTGAATGGTAGGATTTGAGGTAGGATTTGAGGTGGTGTTGTCCATGGGCTTGATTTTTTGTTTTGATTCAGAAAGGTCTCCTTTAAGCTATCTGTCGATTGAACGATGTTGGCCGTAGTAGATTCCAATTTGCTTACACGTTCAGCGAGAACCTGCAATCCACAAAAGTTAGTTGTCTCTGATTCATTATTTATACTACTAATTCAACTCAAGTAAACTTCTGTTCACTGTTATTCATTTGTATTAATTAATTAACATTTACCAGAATGATTTATTTTCAAAGAATTCATATTAGGGTTGGACTACTGGACCCTTTATAGCATTCGTATGTGATATATTGCCTTATGATCATCTATCAATAGGAGTCATATATATATACCTTAGAAGCCAACTCTCTTTCCAAAAACATTGTTGCTGCATCTTAGATATTATGACACACAAAAGGATTTCAGTAAAGAAACGAAACCAGAATGTCAAATAGATTTACAAGCTGGAAACAATTAACAGACCAACTTTGAACTCCACTAATTTGGAACTCGAGATGCAGCACATGAAAAGTATGTTATAGTTGCCTTTTTAGCATTGAGTGACTTGCTAGTTTCATACATAACTGTGCACTTTGGGGTTAAGGCACCTATCCTCTCTTTTTTCAAATTGATTATTCCCCACTTGATTTTTTTTAAATGCAGCTATGACTTTTACTGAAGTGATTGCTATTATTAAGATGTTGTTACTTTCAAACGTAACTGTGCACTTTGGGGTTAAGGCGCTTTGATAGATATCTCCAAAAATCCAGAGCAATTACAGAAAGATTAAGAACAGATGAACATTTTTATTGAATCAATATGAACCGTACAGAAATCTCAGGCCGAAGCCTCCTAAATAAGCCGAAGTTTCCCAAAGATAGAGACAGCCAGTCTCAAATCTTCCCAAGTCCCGAGTCCAAATCTAAAAACCGCCTCCCCCACTTCCCTTGCTATCTACTTATTTATACTAGACTCAAACACTTCTTATTATTAATACTTCTAATAAGCCCGGTCCGTTACGATTATTATTAGTCTACTATTAGGCCTAGGTTCCTATTAATACTCCCCCCTAAACATCCACCTTGCCCTCAAGGTGGGTGATAGGACACAACCACAATCTTCATCTTTTCTTTCATCCTAGCACCTCTTCCTTTCCAATACTGGCTGGATTTCTGGATACTTAGCTGGGCTGCTTCCATCTTCTTCCCTATGCTTTTGATAGCAGATTTACACAAACGCCAGGACCTTCTATCCAGAATTGACTTGAAAACTTCAGGGAACTCCTTTATAAACTCATTTCTTCTGCCTTCAATTTACTGTTCTTGCTTTAGCTCATTACTTTGTCCCTCCCTGTGCCACAGATGTCCATCTCCTTGAATTATATGATTCAGCCCTTGCTTCTTCCATTTTATGATCAGGTTTTGGAAATTAACTTCCATATCACCTAAATCAGTTAACCATTCCATGCCCAGGACTACATCAATGCCTCCCAATTCCATTAAGTAATATGTCTGCTGAATCTCCACCCCTTGTACGTTGAGGCCCACTCCTGCACACTTGCCATAGTTGGTTATGCAATCTCCATTTCCAGTTTGTACTTTGTATTCCTGAATTGGAGTGTAAGGGATCTTCCATCTTTCCACCAAGTCTTTGTTGTGGACTCTTTTTGGGGTCACACTTATAAACGACGCATAAATGGTCCAAGGGCCCGAGAGTCTACATCTGGAAGTGGCTGAAGTTGGGAATAGGATATAGTTTCCTAATTCTAGTTGGTTTCCTAATTATAGTTTATTTCCTTATTCTAGTTACTTAATATGGCTGAACTGGGAAACAAGGATACTGTTTCCTAATTCTATTTTTAAGTCCTGATTCTAGTCTTGTTTCTAATTATTGGTTCTTTCCTATTTAGAACTCTAAGCAGCCTCTCTATATAAAGGGTTTTTTGCTATGGAATAAAGTACGTTTTTGGAGAATTAATTTGTGCGTCTTGACAAGGTCGGGCGTTGATTAGTTTAACAAGAATAGCTTCATTATTTTTCTCGTTCCCGATTAATATCTCGAACGCATCCCTGGACTAGGGCTAGCTCTCGCCTCCTTAACAATTTGGTATCAGATTTGGGCACGATGGGCAACGCACCGGTGACAATTGAAGCATTGAAGGCCTTATTACAAGGCGTCGATCAACGTCAAATTGACGTTGAAGAACAGTTGGCCGATATCAAGAACACCGTAACCAACTTGGCAGGAATTCCAGCAGCGTTTGCTGAGATGAGCAAAACTGTGACCAGCCTGTCAAACACTCTCAACCAATTGTTGCAGGATCCTCCATCATCCAGTCCACATGCTGGGCGGCCACGGCATACCGATAACCACCAACACGACTCAGACGATGGGATGGTTCCACGCTACTCCAAGTTGGAGTTTCCCCAGTACGATGGATCCAGTGATCCATTAGCGTGGCTGAAGCGGTGCGAGCGGTTCTTTGTGCAACAGCGCATCCAACCGCAGGCACAAGTAGGGTTGGCTACTTTTCACATGACTGGTAATGCCCAACTTTGGGCAGATCAGTTAGATCCAGCGGGAACAAGCCTTAACTGGACGGAGTTCTATATCCGTTGTTCAAAACGATTTGGGCCCCCAAGCAGCCACAACCCGGAGGGTGATCTGGTGAATTTAAAGCAAACGTCTGATTTAGAGTCTCATATTACTAAGTTTCAGCAGTTGCTAGCCCGAACAGCTGGAGTGTCGACCCGCATGCAAATCAAAATTTTTATGGCTGGACTTCGCGAGGCAGTACGCGTGGAGGTCGAATACCAGGAACCCGTTGATCTTGACACAACCATGATGCTCGCCAGAAGTAGCGAGCGCAAATTCATCGCAGCTGCGACTTTAACAAACATCAGTACATATGGATCCGGTAGGTCCAGTACTCAAATTCCTCACTCCGTTATCCCTGAGCCGACACCAGTAAAGAAAAATTACAACCCTACGTTTAAAAAATTAACTCGGGCTGAAGCTGCTGCACGACAAGAAAAAGGATTATGCTACAACTGTGATGAAAAGTGGATCCGTGGACACCGATGCAAACGATTATTTTTCGTCGAAATTGTGGATGACGACTTTGAAGAGGCCCCTGAAACCCAGAGTGAGCCTTCCTTGTCAATCAACGCAATGACTGGGTTCGGGTCACATTCCACCATGCAACTAGCCGCAACCTTGTTTGGACAGTCCCTGAAGGTTTTGGTCGACTCAGGAAGTACTCACAATTTTATCCACCAACGTTGGGTCCCCATGAACACCCTGCAGCAGCACTCGGGCACCCGCCTACAAGTTTTGGTGGCTAATGGAGACCGAGTACCCATCATTGGTACATGTTCGCGACTTCCGTTCACTGTTAATCAAGATGACTTTCATGCAGATTTTTATGTACTGCCGTTATCCGGTTTTGATATGATTTTGGGCATCCAATGGCTTTGTGGGCTTGGCTCCATACAATGGGACTTCTCAAAACTCTCCATGCAGTTTACTTGGAATGGCAAACCAGTGACATGGAAGGGTCGTGGGGCCGATGTTTCAACTGTCTCTCACATGGCAATCTGTCAGGACAGTTCTAAACCCTCTCTCAATGAGCTTCTATTGCATTTTGAGGATCTTTTTCACAACCCCTCTGGCCTCCCACCCCAGCGTGCATGTGATCACCGCATTACCTTACTCCCAGGCACGGGTCCAGTTGTGGTACGTTCGTACCGCTACCCTTATTTCCAGAAAGATGAAATTGAAAAACAATGTGCTGAAATGTTGACGCAAGGGATTATTCAACCAAGCCGATCTCCATTCTCCTCTCCTGTACTTCTCGTACGTAAACCAGACAAGTCCTGGCGTTTTTGCGTTGATTACAGAGAGGTAAACTCCAAGACTGTTAAAGATTAGTTCCCCATTCCGGTAATTGATGAGCTATTGGATGAGCTTCACGGAGCAACTTACTTCACGAAACTTGACCTACGCTCGGGATATTACCAGAATCCATTGTCTCAGACAGAGATAAAATTTTTGTGAGTAACTTTTGGAGGGAGTTATTCCGTTTGTCAGGAACCAAACTTGCCTTTTCGTCGGCCTACCACCCTCAAACTGATGGCCAGTCAGAAATTGTCAATCGAACGGTAGAAATGTTCTTGCGTTGTCTCACTAGCGCACACCCTCGCAAGTGGGTTCGTTGGCTTCCATGGGTGGAGTATTGTTACAACACTTCTTACCACACAGCTTTCCGATTAGTTTATGGACGAGACCCCCCCAAACTGGTGACATATACCCCTGGAACAGCTAAGCTAGAAGGCGTAGAGCAGGAACTCCTGAACCGCGACATCATCGTATCTGAGGCTAGACTACGATTCGCTCACGCACAGAACCGCATGAAACAATATTATGACAAAGGGCACCGCGAGTTATCTTTCACGGTAGGTGATTGGGTCTGGTTACGTGTGCATCCATACCGGCAGTTAACACTAGTCTCCCGTCACCACAAGTTACTGCCGAAATTTTATGGTCCCTTTCAAGTCACCGCAAGGATTGGTACAATGGCATACAAGCTACAGTTACCCACAGAGAGCCGCATACATAATGTCTTTCATGTATCTCTCCTCAAGCCACACAAAGGACCCGTACCAGAAACCATGGGTTCCTTGCCACCACAAGATACTGTCCCAGAGGTTTTGAGGCCATCCACAGTGTTGCGCAGTCGGCTGAATCGCGGGGTAATGGAGGTGTTGGTCCAGTGGCATGAGAAGCCCATAGAAGAAGCTTCTTGGGAAACAGTGGCGTCATTTCGCAAGGCTTATCCGGATTTTAAGCTTGAGGACAAGCTCTTTGCTAACGGGGGGAGTGATGTTGTGGACTCTTTTTGGGGTCACACTTATAAACGACGCATAAATGGTCCAAGGGCCCGAGAGTCTACATCTGGAAGTGGCTGAAGTTGGGAATAGGATATAGTTTCCTAATTCTAGTTCGTTTCCTAATTATAGTTTATTTCCTTATTCTAGTTACTTAATATGGCTGAACTGGGAAACAAGGATACTGTTTCCTAATTCTATTTTTAAGTCCTGATTCTAGTCTTGTTTCTAATTATTGTTTCTTTCCTAAGCAGCCTCTCTATATAAAGGGGTTTTTGCTATGGAATAAAGTACGTTTTTGGAGAATTAATTTGTGCGTCTTGACAAGGTCGGGCGCCGATTAGTTTAACAAGAATAGCTTCATTAAACTCTGCTGATTATTTTTCTCGTTCCCGATTAATATCTCGAACGCATCCCTGGACTAGGGCTAGCTCTCGCCTCCTTAACAGTCTTGTGAGATAAAATTGTGAGATGCACCAGTATCCATAAGTACATTCACTGTCACTTCTCCATCAGGCCACCTCATTCCTCCTTTTACCATAAATGTTTTCTTAAATGGTATGCCCTCCTCACCTAATACTGAAAACTGCATGGTCTTCAATTCTAGGGGTATGGTGTTATCTTTTCCAGACTCCAGTAATTCAACTTCAGAACCAGCTTCATCCTCAGAATTCTCCACTAGGATCATTTTATAGTTCCTCATCTTGCAAACATGTCTCCTACCCCAGTTTTCACCGCATTTAAAACAGAGTCCCTTCTTGCTTCTATCTAATAATTCTTCTTGGGATAATCTGGAGCCATTCCTTATCATGTTCTGCTCTTGCACATCACAATTTATCGTGTTATCAACTGTAGCCTTGTCCAAACTAATAGAGTTAACAGGTTGATTCTTCCATTTATTTTCATCCTCCCAATTATGATGCTGACTATTACCAAGCCATTTCTTCTTCCTTTCATCTTTGTTCTTCATGATACAAACTTCAGTGTTCTTGTTTTCAATTAAAGAAGCCACATCCATAACTTCAGCCAAAGTTCTTGTAGAGTATAGCTTCAACTCAGCTCTTACATCGCGCTTAAGGCCCTTAAGAAACGCTCCCTTCAAAACCTCTTCAGTTAAGTGTCCCTGTGTCGCAATTGCAGTCTCAAATTCGTCTCGATATTCCTCTATGGTGTTTTTCTGCTTCAAACTGAATAAAGGCCCCAGGGGATCCTTGACCATGTCTGGCTGGAAGCATCTGGTCAAAGCTTGAGTAAAAGAGTTCCAGTTTTGATGCGTAGCCTGCCTCTCCCACCACCGAAACCAGCTGAGAGCTTGGTCTTCCATTGCGAGCACCGCTACATCAATTTTTTCCTCTTCTTCCGTGTTATTCAATCGGAAGTAGCGATTTATCCTCATCAACCAACCGCTAGCATCGCTTCCATTGAAGATAGGCAACTCAATCTTCCTTCCTGTGTGGTGTTGATGTGGATGACTCCGGTGAGGTCCGAGACCCTGGGGAGAGCCGGTAGGGTTCGACTGATTATCTGAACCTCCTGAGCTATCATCATCCCTCGCATGTCTACGATGATGTGATCGATGCGAGTCACTGGATCGATGCGAGTGACTGGATCTACGCGATCTATGTAAAATCTGGTTCTGCAATTCCACGATGTTTGCTTGTAACGAGGCCTGCATCGCCGCCATGTTATTCTGTAATTCACGCATACTCCTATCCATATGTGTTTGCAATTCTCTCCGATTCCGTCCAAAATCCGCCATATCTCACTCAACTTCGTTCAATCTACCTTCCATCTTTGCGCGCGTAATTCTCATCCAGCGATCGATGCTGCTCTGATACCAATTGATAGACATCTCCAAAAATCCAGAGCAATTACAGAAAGATTAAGAAGAACAGATGAACATTTTTATTGAATCAATATGAACCGTACAGAAATCTCAGGCCGAAGCCTCCTAAATAAGCCGAAGCTTCCCAAAGATAGAGACAGCCAGTCTCAAATCTTCCCAAGTGCCGAGTCCAAATCTAAAAACCGCCTCCCCCACTTCCCTTGCTATCTACTTATTTATACTAGACTCAAACACTTCTTATTATTAATACTTCTAATAAGCCCGGTCCGTTGCTATTATTATTAGTCTACTATTAGGCCCAGGTTCCTATTACGCTTATCCTCTCTTTGTTCAATTTGATTTTTTCCCACTTGATTATTTTCATAAATGCAGCTATTACTTTTACTGAAGTGATTGTTATTAACATGATTATGTTTCTTTCAGTGTATTTATTTCGGAAAATTAATCGAAGTCTTTTTGTCGTGCAGGAGGTTGTTGATCGAAGATGCGAAATCAACTTTTAGTTCAAAAGCTCCTGCATCATTTCAATGAATTACAATTTACAATACTAAGGTATGTCCGATCCTAAAAGACTTAATTCTTTTTACATAATAGCAATACTATTGGAGTTTTGCTTTACCGCAAAGGCTCAACCCCTAAATTGCATAAGTCACAATCTATGACTTATTTCACCTTATTTTTTTTCCATAACTCAGCGGTTCCGTCATTTTCGTGCTCTCTCAAATCAGTAATGGAAGTCTACATTCCAGAAACACTTGAGTTTTACTATGTGTTATTATGTTCTGGAAAAATTGTTTCCCTAGAGAAAATAAAGAATTTGTTTGCATAGTACTCCTCCATTCTCATTGAATACTCAACAAGGAATCAGTCCTACTATGCTTTAGAAAATAAAGAATTTGTTTGCATAGTACTCCTCCATTCTCATTGAATACTCAACAAGGAATCAGTCCAATCTCTTGTAACTCAACGAGAATTTGTGACTCTGAGCTTCTTTTTAGAATTTCTAAGAACGAGAATGTCCTTGGATATTTTTTCAATCTAAGTTCTTAATTGCGTAACTCTTGATTTTTTTTTGTGATCGGATTTATGTTCAACTAATGTTCTTAAAAATGGTTACTCTAAGATATATTTCTAATTCCGATTTAATATTTTTTTTTCATTTATGATTATAAATAGTTGACTTGGGAATATGGTTTAGAATAGGTTATTTACTTTATGGTTTTTTTTATAAAAGCGGAATCAACTATTATTAATAAAATCATTGTTCAAATACAACAAATATAACTTGGTGGATTATCAAATTAAAACCAGCCATCAGACATAGAAATAGCGCCTAGCTAGTTGCTAGCTAGTTGAAGAGAATCTTATTCAACATCAATGTGATCCCATCCAACACTCTTATAGAAAGTGCTTCAGCCTCCTTAGGGAGATTTTCTCCGGGCTTGTGAATAGCTCCCCCGGCTAGAAACAATCCTTCGTTATCTCTGGCAACCCATCCAAGTCCAATAGCACCAGATCTGCGATGGACAGCTTCGTCAACATTGACCTTATTTCAACCTGCCTCATGTCTGACCCAAAACGAGGCCACTGGAGCTACCTGTTTAGCCGTTGAACTCCCCACCTGGGCTCGTCGCCAAGCTTCCAGAGACGAGTTTCAACAGCTGCAATTCTCGCCACAGAAACAGCTATGTTGTTCCACAATTTCTCGTTTCTGCTTCTCCAAATACTCCAGAGATACACGACAAAGCTGCCTCAAAAATTCTCATCCCGCATCTAAAAATCCTTCTGTCCAGGCCACAAAAGACTGCCCTGCAACTTGTAAGTTCCAATTTAAAGTTCACCATAGTTGTTGAGTCACTGAACACTCCATAAAGAGGTGTTCATCACTTTCGTTTTCAACTGTACACATAACACAAATCGGTGAACAATTAACTCTTTATGAATGAAATACAAGGAACTAGCTACTCTAATATTTAGTGAAGGTTGCAGCATCAGTATTTGCATTTCAAGAGCCAGATATATGCACCTTGGTGTTTGTTTAAAAACACGTACGTGAAACACTATTTTTTTTCTATTATTCTTTTTATAAAACTTCAAGAGCTAGATGTATACTTTTTAAACTTTATTAAGGAAAACCCAACCATGTGCCTACAACAATTTTTTATATGTTAATAATAAAATAGAAATAGTGAGTTGTATATGAATAAATCCATATGGCAGAAAAAAATGTGACATTTTATACCCAGCCACTATTTTTGAAAATTTTGTGACTATGATCATGGATACATTTGCAATGTAGTGAACATGATTTTTTACAACTAGATTAAGGGTCCAAGGGCCTTTTTTTTACAAAAAAAACTACCATTGATTTAACAAAGCTTTATCAAACAGCTTTTTTTGCTTGTGTTGTGCAATAGTATTTCGTATATGTACAACAAAATATGGACACTTTTTGTATATATGCACATAAACACTACCACAAGCATAGGTATGAACCCTCCATAAATTTAGATCTTTTCTCATGCATGTGGAAAGTTCTGCAGAAAATTATCTGGAAAAAATCTTTTTATTGACCTGTCTTATTTACCACCCTGCATCTTTACTAAATGCCGGTGTAGCTAATGGGGCAATGTCTTGCTCGGATTCAGCCCCAAGTTTGATAAAAATGTTTTACTTTATTTGTAGATAAAATAACTTTTAAAAAAAATACTATGGGAATGCGTTACTTTATTTGGTCCTTCCAACATGATTATCCCCATCTTACTGTACGATGATTATTGAAATATTGTTTCAATCTTTGATTTTCCTCATCTTACTTAGCAGCGTTATAAGTTTGGGACATGTATTTTTTTTTTTGCTTTTCTAAATTCTCCGATTTCGGTGAAGATTATATAGTTGGGTTGAAATGTTGTTTACAGTTTCTAAGAGTATGACATGATTGTGAAGTGAAATTAACGATCTTGGTTCTATTTATATATGCCAAGGTAGTGTGGCAGGCACATTTTCACTTAGTTTTAATCCTAAAATATTTAGGATTTTTTTGCCACTTCAGACTTGTTGATTATTTGGCGATTTTGTCTATTATTGGTTGTTGGCTGCTGATATTTGATGCTTTAAATTTCACTTATCTTTCACAAATTGCTCGAGGCTAATAACTCAATTGATATAGTAATGTGGGCATGTGGCATATTACATGAAGGTGCACATAGCTTAAATTTGCATTTCATTACAAGATCAATATGCGTGACTTACTACTGCCTATTCACACGTAATTTTTTCAACAAAATACTACATGCAGCTTTCTAACTTGGAAAATTAACACCCATTTTCTTGCTTATTTGAGATCTATGTAATCCCATAGAGATCCTATGTCGTAGCTTGCTTAGAGTATATTCCCCGCTTTGAGATGTTTGTGTTCTTCCCTCTCAGGATGGAGAAGAATAAGAAGACTGCTTCATCTGAGAAAACTGGTACCTTCACCGACTATTATGTAATTGATCCAAAGCAGCCCCAGCCCCAGTCCCAGGTTATGATGAATAGTAAGATGATGATAAAAGGAAGGTAGATGTTGACATCAACATAGTTCTCACTTCTTGAAGAGGTTGAAGAGATGAGTAGGGAGGAGGAAGCAGTGAACCAGAAAACAGAGGGTAGAATAAATGAAGAACATAAAGAGGTGAGTGCACAGAAGGTGTCTGAGAAAGAGGTACGTGAGTGCACAGAGGTCTTCGGCTGAGATACATATCAACAGAGGAAGATTTTCCTGAGTATGAGGGCTATTCATCTTCACACAGAAACCTGGGGAATTAGATGTAAATTGGTAACACATGAACGAGGTTTGGTTGTCTTTCGGATAAAAAACAAATGAAGAAGATTGAACAAAAGTACTTATGGAGGGGCCTAATGTTGTCACGGGGAGAGCACTAATGTTAAAAAATATGCAGGCACGGTTTAGTTATGATGATGAGGAGTTCTTGAGAGTACCCATGTGGACTATACTGCCTCAAACTACCTATGGATTGTTGGAAGGAGGAGATATTAGGAAGATCGCTTCAAGAGTTGGCTTGCCTATATTCAATCACGGTATTACTAGTGAGTAGTGACAACTGACAAGATGAGATTGGATTATGCTAGAATATTGGTGGGAGTTGATGCTTCTAAGCCTCACACTTTGTTTGTCGATATCAAGCTTCCCTCTAGGCAGAATAGAAGACAATTCATCATCTATGAGACCTTCCCTAATTACCGTTTTCACTATAAAAAGCATGGACATGATGCTTTTACGTGTAAGCCCCTCCACCAGCTAGAAAGAAAAAAAACAATTGGGGAAGGATCATATAGTTTACTACACCACAGATTCAATTGGGGAGATCTTAACTCTGGTAGACACTGAGCTGTGGGAGAACAAGGCTGATGATATTGTAAAGGATGATGCGGTACCAGAACCCAGTAAATATCGAAGGAGCTAACATCTTACCTAATCCTTGTGAGGAAGTTTCTGCTATAAAAAGGGAAAAAGAGAAGGTTGCTCGGGAAGAGAAACGGGAAAAGGAAACACTATTTATAGCATTTTTCATTGAAGCATCTAACCACACACTTTGTAGATATTCTGGCTTTGTAGTTTTGGCACTTATCCTCGGAGGATTTAGTTTTCCAAATATTGGGGACACCCTACTATGTGTGAACATATCTAAAACAAGTGTTCCAAATATGATGAACTTGTTCCTCACGATTTCAATCACTAGATGATGACTCCACTCAAAACTAAATTGCTGGATTAATTCGAAACTTGTTCCTCACGATTTCCATTAAGAGTCTCAGGGAATAAGAGATAAAAATTTCTCCAAGTAATAGTGCATATTTCATGATGAATATAATGAGTGTACTATTACAAACTTTTAATATTTTAAATATTCTGCACTACATTTGATGTATTAGAAATTAAATTAGAATCCGGAAAATTGTATTAGAAATTAAATTAGAATCCGGAATATTTTGGGGTAAAAGTATCCACAATATTTTATAAGTGCATTTAGTATAACAATTGTCACATATCATACAAGTATTTCATTTTTGTTTAAACAAATATATTCTGCAAAAATATTTCAATATGCATCTTACGTTAAAAAACAAAATACAAAAAAACATGTCCCGCGCAGCGTACACGTGAAATACTAGTTTAAATGAAATTCTACTCGCCATGTTTTAGACATGGGTGAATTAGGGTTGGCCACTTGGCCTGTGTCGGGTCGGCCCGATCTGCCCGGCCACCCCGATTCAGGCCCAAATATTTTTTTTTTGAAAAATTTTATGGTTGGGCTTAAGGATGGACTGCGCCCAAGTTGACCAGCCAGGCCCGGCCCGTTACTGTATTTTCTTTCCTTGTGTTGGGGGTGGTAGGCTTGTTGGGTGGGGTGTTTTGGCCGGGTTTGGAGGGTTGGGGTAGGAATTAATTAGAAAAGCAAAAAAAATTATATGATGATATTCATGATTGTAATAAGACCACACAAGCTGGAGAAAATATGTATACCATCTGGGCTTGGACCAAACCGGGTCTGAGTCCAGGCCGGGCCTAGGCCCAGTCAGGCCTTTTGTATTTGGGAGAAGGCCCGAGACTGGCCCGGGTTGCCACCGGGCCCAGTTCGGGTTGGGCCGTTTCTCGCTCCGGGCCGTGTTGTAATATTTTTTTTTTCTTTCCAAACTACCCACTGACCCCCCCCCCTCCGCCCTGCACCCCTCCTGACCCCCCCCCCCCCCCCCCAAAAAAAAAAACATTAAGCCCTACCCGGGAAGCCCAATAAAACTGGAAAAACAAAAAAACAAAACAGTTGTGGGCCCAAACCGGGCCTGGCCTTGCCGGGGTCCCCATTTCAGCAGCCCGAGCCCGCCCCGCTTTACCTTTCAAATCGGGTTAAGGACGGGTTTCGGACCCGAGGCACCGGGCTGGTCCAGTCCGGTCCCGCACAGTAGGTTCCATGCCTAATACCAACTTAATTTGAAATTCTAGAGCAATTTGATCCACATTGACATAATTTCAAATACTGATGCAGAATTCAGTTGCAATTGAAAAGAAAAATCAATAAATCATGACTGTTCGTTCCCTTTCCCTGGCCTGCCATCCTCAGAGATTGAAGAAAATGCAACTTGCAGCAAATTGTAGTGGTGGGAATGTGAGCTAGCAATTATAATGAGTTTTAAATGAAAGTGTAAGATGGAAAACAATATGATCACCAGCTTAGTATTATATGAAAGAATTTACACAACAGCATGGTCTGAACAAATGCCTTATCGAAAACGTACTCAAGTAACTAGCATATTAACACGACAGTATGATTGATTACAAATCAAATAGAAAGACTAGATCATGTTATCAGACTATATACTTCTGGATGACTGAAACTTGACTGCTTCCGGCCTGGACAATAATATGATCACCAGCTTAGTATTAATGCATAAACAAGGAATTTGAAAAAGTATCAATTAAAGACCTAAAATCTAGCTGACCTAGGAGGAATAGGAATGCAGTGCAAAAGGCCTGGGAGCATCTTCTGCTCTAGTTGAGTGAAAGAAAGACTGCCATAACTGCAATAAAGACTATAAATCATCACCGGTGCATCTAATTGGGGAAAGAAAATCAAATGAGTGGAAATTACCTAAAACTAGCCAAATAAGAAGGAGTGTACAAATTGAAGTTAAGAATTTTGATCTTGGAGCGTCTTCTTCTTCTGACAACTCTTCTGCATGGGGTCCTCCCGAACTTGAAACTTGGGAACTTGAATCTTCGGGACTTGAATCTATTGAAGAAACGCTTAAGTAGAGAAAGGGAAAAAGAATAAGAATAAATAACAAAATAACAATATACCTGAATTTTCTGACTCGGTTTCTTCCTGTCCGCCCTCGGGATAAGCAATTGCCCGCATCTTCTGAAGGCCGGGGTAAAACTTGGCTGACCTCTTCCTTCTCCTGAAACTTCTGTCGTTTCCGGCGGCGGCCGCCTCCGCCCCATCACTCAGAGTGAGCTTCTGGAAAGAGTTGCGTGTAGTAACTCTCCCCTTTGCCTTGGGGTAGAACTGAACATCCATATTGGTGGACGCGAATGGGGGGCGGAAGTGGACGATGAAATCAGTTGGAAATCACGTTTAAATAGTTCCATTTTGCTCCTCCGAGAACAACCGGAATCGTTCAAGAACGCTGAAATCAGTTGGAAATCCGTTGTGAGTTGAAGAAGTGAACGATGAAATCCAGTTGAAGAAGTGACCGACCCGGATTGCTCATATACTCGTATTTCGTTTGGGATAGAATTCCCCCAGTGGGCTGAACTGTTGGGCCACACCTAATTTTTCTCATTTATATGTTTCTCATCCCAAATGCAAATGTAAAATATAGGATGTTTTTACTAATTTGTCCCATACCACATCAGACCAGATCATATTAGATCAGAACATACCAGACTTGCGTAGTTATAAGAATACAAAAAAACCAGACCAGACCAGTTCAGATCAGATCAGGCCAGCAAATTACAGTCTAAGTAAAAACATCCATAGTGTCCCCATCTCAAATAAAATTGTCATCTCATAATTTTGATTTATATAATATTACGATAGTTATAAATTTTAGACGTTTATGAAACTACTTTTAGCAAAGAACATTTTTATATCATAAATAATTTCCAATAACAAAATATAGTTGACCAAAGTTTTAAAAATGACAGGTTTTTTAGACGGAGCTAGTATATATTTAGGATATGTAGAGTCGGTTTGGTAACTCTCGTTCTTGACTTTTCTCGCAAATACATACCAGTAACCTATGATTTTGATCGTTGAATTATGTATTAATAAAACTAAGTGATGCTAGAGTTACTACTATGGCCGAATTGGCTGAAATAATTCATCGTAAAGAACGATTTTATATACTCTTATTTTGTTTTCTTTATTTTATTACTAAAAATATTTTATATGCATAATTTTCCCGTGATTAAGTAAATTCAGCTCAATCAGACACTCCAACTAGAGCTTCGACAATTTAAATCGATTCAGCGTGTTCACCCTTTTTTGAAGTATTGACATGTGTTTTTATTAAAATCTCACATCATTATATTACATCATTATCATCTTATCTTAGGAATAATGTATTTGTGCACTCCCTAATTACCCTAATATTCGGATTTGCTTTGTGACGCAATACTACTACAATGTATTCTATAAATATATACTACCTCCGTCCCGTTGGAAGGTTCCCGTTGCAAAACGGCACGGTTATTTAGGTGATAATTAAATAAAGTATTCGGGGTATATTTTTGAGAAATAATTTTAATAGGTGTTTGTTATAATGTGTTAGTATTGATAAATGTGATGTTATAAATGTATTATTTTTGAAATTTTAGGACTAATTTTTCAATTAAGATTGTTAATTGTTTCCTAAAATGGAAATGAGAACCTTCTAATGGGATGTCCCAAAAAAGAAAGTGTGAACCTTCTATCGGGACGGAGGGAGTATGTTTTAATTATAACTAATGTTGTTGTTTTGTTGTTGTTGTTGTTGTTTTTATTATTATTATTAATGCTCTGGTCTATTACGGTCTGGTCCGATAAATGTCTGGTCTATGTGTAATTTATAATTACGGAAGTCAAGTCTGATCGGGTATGTTCTCTTTTAAATCTGGTCTGGACTGTTTAAGTTTGCTATGGTCTATTGGATTCTCGTCTAGTCTAATTTGGGACCGAAAATAGTCCATGTAAAAACATCCTAAGATGTCTGGCTTAACGGAACCCCAAACTGGGCGGTCCCGATCCCGATTCTACTCCCAACGACAATTTTTTTTTTTTTTAAATTGAAGGGGTGGGCAGGGAGGTCCTGGGAACACATCAGATTGTTTTATTGCCTGGGAAGCAAGGATTAACCCTACTTTCTCCATACTTTCTCAAGTACAAACTATTATGATACAAGTGTCTTACTTCATTCCGTGTGGATCCAATGAGGTCCTGGGAACACATTACAATCTTTTATTGCGCGCCTGGGAACCAAGGATTAACACTACTTTCTCCGTACTAGAAACAATCCTTCGTTATCTCTGGCAACCCATCCAAGTCCAATAGCACCAGATCCGCGATGGACAGCTTCGTCAACATTGACCTTATTTCAACCTGCCTCATGTCTGACCCAAAACGAGGCCACTGGAGGCTGGAGCTACCTGTTTAGCCGTTGAACTCCCCACCTGGGCTCGTCGCCAAGCTTCCAGAGAGGAGTTTCAACAGCTGCAATTCTCGCCACAGAAACAGCTATGTTGTTCCACAATTTCTCGTTTCTGCTTCTTCAAATACTCCAGAGATACACGACAAAGCTGCCGCAAAAATTCTCATCCCCGCATCTAAAAATCCTTCTGTCCAGGCCACAAAAGACTGCCCTGCAACTTGTAAGTTCCAATTTAAAGTTCACCATAGTTGTTGAGTCACTGAACACTCCATAAAGAGGTGTTCATCACTTTCATTTTCAACTGTACACAGAACACAAATCGGTGAACAGTTAACTCTTTATTCTCAGTTTATTCGCAGTCGGAAGGCAACCAGAACACAGCTGCCTAAATAAGGCTTTCACTTTTGGAGGTCAATGTAATCTCCGCTTCTGGAGGTCAATGTAATCTTTGTCCAAGCGAAATTCTGTACCACCGCTTCACTGTTAGTCTGAAAACGATAAGCACTCTTAACCGTATACTGCCCGTGCTCTTCCCAAGGCCAAATAAAACTATCTGGAATTTATCTCAAGCTCACCGCAATTCCACGAATCATCTATTTGTCTCATGAGTACAAAA